AGTCTCGCTCTGTCACCCAGGCTGGAGTGCACTGGCGCAGTCTCGGCTCACTGCAAGCTCCGCCTCCCAGGTTCACGCTATTCTCCCACCTCAGCCTCCCGAGTAGCTGGGACTACAGGTGCCCGCCACCACACCCGGCTAATTTTTTGTATTTTTAGTAGAGACAGGGTTTCACCGTGTTAGCCAGGATGGTCTCGATCTCCTGACCTCGTGATCCGCCCGCCTCGGCCTCCCAAAGTGCTGGGATTATAGGCGTGAGCCACCGCGCCCGGCCTTCCAGAAGTTTTATATCTAGTTCTGTGATTCACTGAGAGTTAATTCATGTATATGCTGGAAGGTTGAGGTTCTTTTGTTGTTTTTTTCATATGGATATCCAGTTCTTTCAGCACCATTTTCTGAAAGGACTGTTTTCTACCTTGGATTATCTTCTCATCTTGTTGGAAATCAATGGACAATATATTTGTGAGTGTATTTCTTTTTAATTACCAACAAGACAGATAGTTTAAGACTCTTAATTAAGCCTGAGTAGACTCTAGTCTTGCCTTCAACACTTACCAATTTTATTACCTTGGGCAAATTATTTAATATCTCTGTACCACTGTTTCCTTCTCTGAAAAACAGTGATAGCAATAGTTACTTCATGGGATTCTTATGAGACTGACTTGAAGCAATACATGTAAAGCTCTTAGAAAAGTACCTGACACGCGGTGAGTTTCATTAAGTGTTAGTTATAACGGAGGTATATTACATGTAATCTTTACAACAGGCCTGTGGAGTTACATAATATTCCTAGTTTATAGAGGTGGCATCTGAATTACAAAGAACATGAGCATCTTATCCATATATGTTGGGACATAGTATAGTGCAGAGTTCAGCATGCAGGCTCTGGAGTCAGGCTACCCAGGTTCTAATCTCAGCGCTGTCACTTACTGTATAACCTTGAGCAAGTTGCTTTATCACCATGGGTTTTCGGTTTCCTTACCTATAAAATGAGAATAATAATAGTACTTTAATTTATAGGTTAATGCTGGGGGCTTAGTGAGTTACTGCATATAAAGTCCCTGACAGTAGTCAGGGTTCAATAAAGGTGAGCCGCTTCCATCTTTGTCATCCTTTGTTGTTGTCATTTTTGTTGTTTTTAAAATCAGCATCATCATTTTTCCGAAGTCATATAATAGAAAATCAGTTCTGTGGCTACACTACTTGCCTTCCTAGTGACAGGAATCCTGACAGGTTTATTTTATTTTCTGATAAACTGATAAACCAAGTAGGATTTTTACTACATATGTGGTATTTCTTTATTTAGAAAGTGTGTAGGTTTAGCTATTTTAGGTCCTTAGTTCTTCAGTACATCTGTTTCTTTATTTTTAACTATAATCTTAAAACTTCTCTTAAAGAGAGGATATTTATAGATTTTTTAATCCAGTCACTTAGGACTAAGAATAATTTGTTGAATCTATATTAGTGTTAAAAATTATAGTGAGCACCTACTTTTCAATGATATACATTCCTGGGAAATTGTAAGGCAGATTTTTATACAATACAAGCAGGAATTATGTATGAGTTTATATACCTAAACATATTTGGTTCCTTATTGGCAGAAATGGAATAAATTGAAAAGGTAGTCAGAAGTATAGATGGTGATTAGTCGTGTTGGATGTGCAGAACTTTACAGAAACCTCCAGAGAGCTGGTATAACCACATGGGAAGAGTGGACAACAAAAAGCTAATCCCAAGCTCAGGAAGAAACCCCTGTATTTGCAATGCAGACATCCTCAAAGAGAGTCTGGAACAAAAGCTACCAATCCTTTTCTTTAGAAGATGTACAGAAACATGAGAAACTCATGGAGAATGGTCTCCCAAGAGTTTCTCTCCCTTGTTTCTCCATTGTCTTGACTTCTAGCAAATTTTCTCATGAGTACACATACAACTAAGTTGACCACTCTGATTAATCTGACAAAACAGGGGCTGGGACTAGGTCTGATTTATTTTATGCAGCATTTGATTAAGACTAATCAACAGGACTCCAAGCAGCAGGTTGGTCTCAGCCTGCAATGTTCTCAGCTGTGCTCTGCAGGGTCCCAGCTAAACAAATCCTATAAATCATCAGTGTCTCCCTTAGAAAGCCAGGTGGCTTTCTCCTTAAAAAACAATGTGTTTTTGTTGTTGTTGTTATTGTTGTTTTTTGTTGTTGTTGAGACAGGGTCTTGTTCTGTCACCCAGACAGTGGTGTGATCACTGCTCACTGCAGCCTCAATCTCCTGGGCTCAAGCAGTCCTTCTACCTCAGCCTCCCAAGTAGCTGGGATTACAGGTGTGAGCCACCTACCCCTGGCTAATTTTTAAAGTTTTATGTAGAGATGGGGTCTCACTATGTTGCCCAGGCTGGTCTCAAACTCCTGAGCTGAAGGGATCGTCCTGCCTCAGCCTCCCAAAATACTGGGATTAGGTGTGCACCACCACGTCCGGCCTCTCCTTAAGTTTTATTTTAACTTTTCTACCTGGCCTGAATCAGTAATCTGGGTACAGCAGGTTGTATTCATAATTGCACACACTTTGTCTTGGCCTGCAAATAAGAAAATCTAGGGTAAATCTCTAACAGCCCTGACCAGTGAGTCGAGGCTGACCTGATTGCCTTCCAGGACTGAGGAAGTGTTTTTTTTAAACACTTGAAGATCTCTTCATGTACATTATTGTGTTTTTGGAGGGAGGCAAGTTAATGCATGGTTTCCACAGAAGAAGTAGAAGATCAAGGGTGCGCATGGGTTATGCTTGGAAAGAAAATGTTTACAGTTATTTCCCCCGCAACTCCCACTGCCGTGGGACCTACATCAGAAGAGGGGCACAGGTTGACAGTGCCTCTAACATAGCTTCCTGGATGACTGGCAAGTCTGAGGGTTTCCAGTGCAGTTTGAGTGATGGAGTCTAGTCGTTGTTTTTGGAGGGATTGCCCGAATTAGTCCCACTTGTTTTGTTTGTCCTCACTACCAGCTGAGTGGAATTCATCCACTACTGAGATTGGGGGTGGGGAAAGACCTCTGGAAGTGATATGGACGGGAGGTACATTTGCTGGGGTCATTCCTGATGTTCCTGATAGACTCTTGATAAGGCTCCTGATGGGGAATGGCAGACTCATAAGGTGCTTCCTACAATTTAGGAGAGCCATACCAAGGCATTTTTTCTTGGAGAAGGGTACAGGGGCAGTTCTACAAGAGTAAAAATCATTAATTCCTCTCTTAATACCATACCTCCTGGGATCTAAGGCATTTCTTCCTCAGGTGCCTTCTTGTTGCTCTCTACTGCTATTAAACCTTGGTTTCTTATTTCAGAGCTATAACTTTACCATTTCCTAGTGATCCACTTCTGGATCCAGAAGTGATCCAGAATAACTCCAGAAGAGTTAGATGTAAGAGGGACATTTTCATAAACCCTAACCAGAATTAACTTTGAATCCTCTAGATCACTGGTTCCCAATCTTTTTGGCACCAGGGACCAGTTTAATGGAAGACAGTTTTTCTACAAATTTGGGGTAGGATGGTGGAGGGGGGGTGGTTTTAGGATGAAAATGTTCCACTGCAGATCATCAGGCATTAGATTCTCATAATGGGCATGCAACCCAGATCCCTCACACACACAGTTCACAATAGGGTTTGCACTCGTGTGAGAATCTAATGCTGCCACTGATCTGACAGGAGGTGCCACTCAGGTGGTAATGCTCACTTGCCCACCGCTCACCTCTTTCTGTGTGACCAGGTTCCTAACAGGCCACAGACCAGTACCAGTCCATGGCCCGGGGGTTGGAAATTCCTGCTCTAGATCCCATTTTACCTCAGTGGCCCAGCTGGAAGGTTTATGAACCAAGCCTGCCTGCAGTTCTTGTTAGGGGCTAGAAAGATGCGTCATGTGCAGGAGTGGTCAGAGTAGAATCCTGAAATTTCACAATGGGTCTGTATATCTCCTGTGATCCCCCACCCCTTAGCCTGTAACTTCCAGGATATGGGTCAGGCTCTTGAGGATGGTATTTAAGACCTTTTTACAGTTAATTCCACCCTACCTGTTTATTATTACTAACTCTAGTTATTAGTGTGCTCAGTGCACTTAACAGCACCTTGCACAAGCCTTGACTTCTCATGCTGTGCACTTACGGTGTGAAATGTTCTTATCCCTCCTCTTCACGTGGCAAAATTCAAACTAAGCTTCAAGGCTCTGCCTCAGTGTTCTCTTTCCTGTCATCTCATCCTTGGTGCTTCTAACTCAGAATTGGCACAGCTATTTTGGTATCTGTATTAGTCTGTTTTCACACTGCTATAAAGAACTACCTGAGACTGAGTAATTTATGAAAAAAAGGGTTTAATTGACTCACAGTTCCACATGGCTGGAGAGGCCTCAGGAAACTTAAGGTGGAAGGTGAAGGGGAAGCACAGCACATCTTAATGTGGCAGCAGGAGAGAGAGAGAAGCAGCAAGGGGGGAAGTGCCACAATTTAAAACCATCAGCTGTCGTGAGGAACTCACTCACTATCACAGGAGCAACAGGGGAGAAATCCACCCCATGATCCAGTCATCTCCCACCGGGCCTCTCCTCTGACATGTGGGGATTACAATTCAAGATGAGGTTCTGGGGACTCAGGGCTAAACTATGTCAGTATGTATTTCCGCTTAGGATTCTTCACAGGTGAATACTGTAAGTACTGTTAGTTTTCTAGAGCGTGAATTCCTTGAGGACGGGAATATTTTCCTCATCTTTTTATTGCCAGTATTTAGCTTGATGCCCATTTCCAGTGAGTGTTATATAGTACTTGTTCAATAGATGTTAACTGAGCGAATGAGTGAAAAGCCTTAGGGCTGTGCTATGTATGGTTATGATACAGCTCTACTCTTTGTGTCACTCAAATAGTAAATACTGTCATAAAGTGAACACTTGTGTTTTCTGTTTACATTTTAGAATTATATTTTGAGCGTTCTCATGTATACACTGTAGTTTATTCCACTTATGTTTCAGGAGGACCAAACATGTGGGCTATTACCTCTGAAGAACGTACTAAGCATGACAGGCAGTTTGATAACCTCAAACCTTCAGGAGGTTACATAACAGGTTTGTGTTTATAATTTTATTTGTGAATTATGGTCCTTATGTGATATCTAAGAATTAGTTTTAATTTGACTGCCATCAAATTTGTGTTAATGATAAAATTCATATCAGTCAGAATTCTAGAAATTAAAGAAATGGTAGCTTTCTTATTTTTCCTGGAACTGTCTTAATTTGTTGTTTTGAATTTGGGATATGGAAGATTTTTCCTGAATCCCAAACGATAGTCAAGAATTTCTGTGTAATTGTCTAGTTTCACAGTTTGACATTATATCTAGAAAGTTTTCAGTTTATTTCTTAGATTCATTTCATGGAAAATCTAGACTTTTTGTTCTGGAATCTGTTTTCCTAATCCTAGCCCTCTGTCTTTGAGGCTATACCAAGCACTGATTGTTGATGCTAGCCCTTGTTTTGCAGAAAGACCACCAGAGCCAAAATAGGATTAATTTAGGTGTGCCTTTGAAATTTTTTTCTATTAATTAAACTTTTTTCTGTACCAAAGTAACTTAGTGCTTTACATACAATAGTAGTAACTATGAGAACAATGATATTTATTGAATTTTTACTATATACCAGATGCTATGCTAAGTGCATTATTTTATTTAACCTTTACAACAACCCTATAAAGTAGGCAGTATTGTTGTCTATATTTACAAATAGTGAAACTGAGACTAACAGATGTTATGTAACTGCCTAAGGTTACAAAGATGGTTAGTGTTAATCTGGGCTTTGAAACCATTCGGCCTGACTTTTGAATCCATCTGCTTAACCATGTTATTTGTACTGCTATGGTAGTAATTACCTTACCTGGTATTAGGATTTGATTACCCTGCTTACTGGTTAATAACTTTGTCCATTACTGAGGGAAGACCCAAGATTCCTGAGTCAAAGACAAAGAACCTTATGACTAACAGCATAACTAGCAAAATCAGCATTGGCATCTATCTTTCTGTTTCCTTTAGTGTTCCCTAAGTACCACAGAGACAATGCAGAGAGCCCAGAAGAATGCTACATATGCTGTGTTACAGGAGAGGAACACTGAATTTGGGGAACCCACCCTTTTGTAGCAAGCAGTAAAGCAAGTTTGTCCCTTGTCTCAGTGGGAGACATTACCTGATTCCTTAAGACTGCTCATTACGAACCCAATTCTGAGAAGTGACCCAGACAGAGAGCAGTTAGGGTCTTACATTATTGATATACAAAGCAAGACACATAGTAGTGTGAAGAAACTCCAGTAGGACTGTCTCCTAACACCTGGTACTTTTTATATTGAAACTCTTTTAGGGAATAATGTTTTTAAATATAAATTTTACTAAGTGGAAGTATTTTTAAGGAAGATCCCAATTGTGGAAAAACTAAGATGAATAATCTTTCATCACTGATTAATATATAATAGAAATGCAGATGTGACTTTTGTTTTAAAAATCTGTCTTATTAAAGTTGTAAATAATTTTTATTTGTGTTTCTTTTGCATTATTTAATGATTGATATTAAAATTATAAATCATTAACATATACCCATTATTATTCAGAAGCATTGGAATAATTTCATTTACTAATGTACTGCTTGGGTTTTGTTTTTATTGCTTTCAGGTGATCAAGCACGTAATTTTTTCCTACAATCAGGTCTACCGGCCCCTGTTTTAGCTGAAATATGGTAAAGTGTTTTCTTTTATAGATGAACCTAATTTTCTGATAGTATTTTTTTTTTTGTAATATAGTGTTAACATAAAATTGTGTTTAGTTGCATTCTATTGGTTATTAAGAATATTTCTGCCAGCCCTTTGGGAGTCTGAGGTAGGAGAATTGCTTGAGGCCAGCCTGGGCAACATAGTGAGAACCCTGTCTCTACAGAAAATTAAAAAAAAAAATTAGCTGGGCGTGGTGGCCCACACCTCTAGTCCCAGCTCCTCAGGGAGGCCAAGATGGAAGGATTGCTTGAGCCCAGGAATTCAGTGCTTAAGAGAACTATGATTGGCCGGGCGCGGTGGCTCAAGCCTGTAATCCCAGCACTTTGGGAGGCCGAGACAGGCGGATCACGAGGTCAGGAGATCGAGACCATCCTGACTAACGCGGTGAAACCCCGTCTCTACCAAAAAAAACACAAAAACTAGCCAGGCGAGGTGGCGGGCGCCTGTAGTCCCAGCTACTCGGGAGGCCGAGGCAGGAGAATGCCGTAAACCCGGGAGGCGGAGCTTGCAGTGAGCTGAGATCCGGCCACTGCACTCCAGCCTGGGCGACAGAGCGAGACTCCGTCTCAAAAAAAAAAAAGAGAACTATGATTGTGTCACTGCACCCTAGCCTGGATGAAAGAATGAGACTCTCTTAAAAAAAAAAAAAAAAAAAAAAATTCTTCAGTTTTTTGGAGAATAAATTTTATTGAGCAAATAAAATGATTGAAAATAATTCTCTAATTTCATTAATTAGATTAATTTAGATTAATTAATTTCATTAATTAGAAATAGTTCTCTAATTTCTAATTTCATTAGAATTTTCTAAGGGAAGATATATACATTGTCATTGAGAAAAATTCCCTTGTAATTTGGCAGAATCTCAAAATCCTCTGTTATTTTGTAGTTTCATTTACATAATACATAAACCCCAAATTAGTCCTCGCTTCCCCTGCTCCTTCTTTGAAGAAACGATTCTTCATAATATCTGTTTTTTTAAAAACGTTTACAATAAGTAACAACCCCTACCTCGTCTTTCCACTTGGAATATTCTCATGCCTGGCAGAGTATGAGGTACATAGCAAGTATTCAATAAATATTTGGACAAATGAATAAATTAAATTTGAAATATTATACTCTTGAATTTTTTTGTACCTAAACTGGTGGAATTCAGCCCAAAGGTCTCTAGATTCTATATAGACAGTCAGTGTTTTATTAGTTGTTATCTCTGGTCAGTATTTCTTAATGTGTAGGTTTTGTCTTTTTGTTATTATATATTTTACGTATTAGATATTTTAAATTTAGTGATGATGTACACGTGAATGCCATATCATCTTTTTTACTTTGTCAACCTCCAAAATAACATTAGTTTTCCCACCACCACCCCACATACCAATCTACCTACCCTCATGCTCCTTTTAGGGCTTTATCAGACCTAAACAAGGATGGGAAGATGGATCAGCAAGAGTTCTCCATAGCTATGAAACTCATCAAACTGAAGCTTCAAGGCCAGCAATTGCCTGTGGTTCTCCCTCCCATTATGAAGCAACCCCCTATGTTTTCTCCATTAATTTCTGCTCGTTTTGGTAAGTGTGTATTAATTTAAATACCTGTATCTGCTACTTAAACTTTGTCCCTAGACATATTTGAGTATTAGAAAAGGATTTGTTAGCACAAAATGACAATCCCCAAATTCCAAGTTAATTTTCATTTTAGAGATAATAAATATTAAATTCACTGTCACAGGTAGGGAATCCATGTGTTCCGGTTTTCTAGGGACAGTTCTGATTTATGCCTTTTGTCCTGGCACCTGGTCCAGTTAGTGTCTCCTTTTACAACTCCTAGTTGTGTGATAAATTATATGGTCTCCCTAGGTATAGCCAATCCCAAATACTAGTCTTAGTTTCCTCTCTCTCTATATATATATTAGTAATATAGAAAAAATTTTGAGCAGTTTTAAACTCACTTGAAATGGTTTGATTTGGGAGATAATTTAAAATTTTATGTAAGTTGAATTTTTTTTAAAGGTTAATTAGCCAGCTAAATTTAGGGCCAAAAGTTGCAGACTTTGGGCTCATAGGTTTACATATTCATCAGTGATAACCAGGTGGTATGTTTTCTGTTAATTTTGATCAGGCAATTTCTTATAATTATATGTGAGAAACACTCATTTTGAATGGAACATTCAATTAGGTATGTCTGTGTATCTGAAACATGTTCCTTCACTACATATTTTAGAACATAGAATTCTAGAGCTGGTTATAGGGGTGTGTGCCTGTAGTTCTGGCTGCCTGGGAGGCTGTGGGTAGGATTGCTTGAGTCTAGGAGTTTGAGGTTGTAGCGTGCTATGATCATAACTATGAATAGCCACTTCTCATTCTAGTCTGGGCAACATAGTGAGACCCCCATCTCAAACAAACAACAAACTCCACAAAATTATTTCACTATTGTAGTGAATTCTGGAGATAAATACCAAATCATTGTGTGACCATATTTATATATTAGTATTCTGCAGTTAATAAATGAATAAAAGTCATCACTTTGTTCTTTTTAAAGACTTGTCCTTGAATTCATAGGAATGTTACTTACAAGAAAAGGAAAATATATGACACTTTCTTGCAAATAATGCATGTGCATAAATGGATCTCATAAAATACTACTTACAATCTTTTTGTTTGGGGGGAGTGTGAGAGAGAGAGAGAAGAGGGAGTGTGTGTGTGTGTGTGTGTGGGGTGTGTGTGTGGGTGTGAGTGTGTGTGGGTGTATGTGAGTGTGAGTGTGTGTGTGTGTGTGTGAGAGTGTGTGTGTGAGAGTGTGTGTGCATTAAGTAACTTAGTAGCACTGTATTATCCTATCACAAAAACCTTGTTGGAACTGGTAATATATTCTTTCCTTGAGGATACTTATATTCAATTGGAAAAGGCTGCTTAGTTTTATTCATGATGAGAGAGGAGAATAATTAACTCTTTACTAGGTATTTTCTTAGTTCATACAGATCAGAATATTAGTATTAGAGCAGCAGTTTACCTCCCTCATTGCTGGGTCGAAGGATAATTTCTCTGTGGTGTTTCGGTAAACATAGAGTCTGCCCACTGTACTGTAAACTTGTTTTTTGTATGTGTTTTAGAATTGATTTTCTAGCATTGGAGAAAGTGTTTTCTTTTGACTTTAGGAATGGGAAGCATGCCCAATCTGTCCATTCCTCAGCCATTGCCTGCAGCTGCACCTATAACATCATTGTCCTCTGCGACTTCAGGGACCAACCTTCCTCCCTTAATGATGCCCGCTCCCCTAGTGCCTTCTGTTAGCACATCATCATTACCAAATGGAACCGCCAGTCTCATTCAGCCTTTATCCATTCCTTATTCTTCTTCAAGTGAGTACTTTGTTTCTAATGAGTCATTATTTCATGTAAAGAAAGAAACTATTATATTTATGTTTGAACAGATACAAATTTCTTTTATCCTTTCCTTCTTTTTCTTTTTTAGCATTGCCTCATGGGTCATCTTACAGTCTGATGATGGGAGGATTTGGAGGTGCTAGTATACAGAAAGCGCAGTCTCTGATTGATTTAGGATCTAGTAGGTATGACTACATAACTCTGACAGCTTTGTATTCTTTCAATAAGAAGTCTTTTTTTAGCAAATGATTTTTTTAAAGCTTTGAGCTTACCTGTTTTACTTTATAATGGCCAAGTACAAATACTTAAGGTAAATTTACTACTTACAACTCACATAAAATATATTATTTATTTTTAGAATTATTAAGTGTCTGTGGCATTTTAGTTTTGAAAAAATACTTCATGTAAACTAAAAATACTCTATATTTTAATTATTTTTTTTGCCTAAAGCTGTGTACTTTTCCTTTAAAAGATGTGTATATTTCCCAAGGTGTGTCATACTCATTGTACATTGTTAATTTCTTTCTTGAGCAGATTCTACTAATTTGGTATCTTTTAAATTTTACAAAGCACAAATGCATCAGTATTCATTACATTAATCATCCTTCATATAAATCACTATTATACTCTTCAGGGTAGTGTATGGAGAGTATTAGATTTGACCCAGAAGAACAACATTCATATCCCAGGTTGAACACTCACTGATTCTGTGACCTTGTTTTTTCTTAACATTGCTGAGCCATAGTTTACCCATCTAAAAGATGGGGACTGTAATATTTTTTAAGTTTGTTGGGAGGATTTTAGAAATATTTGTAAAGGCCTTAGTACGATATAAGGTCTGGCACAGAGCGGATTCTTTATATGCGGTAGTCTCATGGAGTTCTATACTTCTTACGGTCTTTGCTTTACTAAGAATAGTGATAATTGCTTAAAATTAAAAAAAAAAATGTAAAATGCAAAAGCAGTCACCATTGGCCAGGCACAGTGGCTCACGCCTGTAATCCCAGCACTTTGGGAGGCTGAGGTGGGCAGATTGCGTGAGCTCAGGAGTTCGAGACCAGCCTGGGCAACATGATGAAACCCTGTCTCTACTAAAAATATACACAAAAAGTAGCCGGGCCTGGTGGCATGTGCCTGTAGTCCCAGCTACTCGGGAGGCTGAGGCAGGAGAATTGCTTGAACCCAGGAGGTAGAGGTTGCAGTGATCCAGGATCGTGCCACTGCACTCCAGGCTGGTAACAGAGTGAGACTCTGTCTCCCAAAAAAGGCAGTCACCATTATAGTATATAACAGTGGTCCTCAACCTTTTTGGTACCAGGGACTGGTTTCATGGAAGACAGTTTTTTCACAGACTTGAAGCAATGGTTTTAGGATAAAACTGTTACATCTCAGATCATCAGGCATTAGATTCTCAAAGGGAGCATCCAACCTAGGTCCCTCACATGTGCCATTCACAATACGATTCGCACTCCTATGAGGATCTAATGCCGCTGCTCACTGGGCAGGAGCTGGAGCTCAGGTAGTAGTGCTGACTCACCTGCCACTCACCGACCCCTGCTGTCCAGCCTGGTTTCTAACAGGTCTGTGGCCCGACGGTTCAGGACCCCTGGTATATAAGATTCTTAATGCCTTGATCTTACAAAGTTTAATTAAATATATTTTATTTAGCAACATAAAAATTTTAAATAAATTTTTTTATAGCTCAACTTCCTCGACTGCTTCACTCTCAGGGAACTCACCCAAGACTGGGACCTCAGAGTGGGCAGTTCCTCAGCCTTCAAGATTAAAATATCGGCAAAAATTTAATAGTCTTGACAAAAGCATGAGTGGATATCTCTCAGGTAAGCAGCATACAGTGCTGAGGAGCATGAGAAAGGGTCTTTTGTGTGGACTTTCATTGAAGAACTCTCATTTGAATTTGTATTGTGTAGCTCATCTGACATTTTAACATCCAAAAAATTTAGCAGGCGTTTGATAAATACAAATACCTGAAGTTGTATAAGGATTCAAAGATGGATTCAACTTGATTGCTTGCTTCAAAGTTCTTATTGTCAAGTCGGGCACCAGATATACCCCCAACTTTTTGGCAAAAGACCTGTCCCTTAAGAAGATCAAACCTCATCCTCTAAGCTTTGCAGTGGATGGAGAGCTGTGGGTCACAAGAGAGAGTGTGCGGAACTTAGCCTCAGCTCACTTTTCCTGAGAATCCTCCTCTGCATTGGGCTTTTTCTCTGCTTACCCTATTATAAAGTTAACCTCAGGTGAGCATTGCTCACCCTTTAGTGCTCTAACCCAAATGTGCCTGTAAAACTTGGCCTTAGTTCACTGTAAAACATTTGAGTCCAGGCTAAAACGTCATCCAAACTGTACTAATTGAAAACAGCAAAGGAGACATAAACAGAGGGTAATAGGCAAGTAGAGTTCCCACCTTCTAACTTTCCCACACCCTCTTCACTCAGCAAGAAATTATGATTTAGGACTCAGTAAAATAAGTGTTTAAAAATAATAGAACTTTAAGTGCTAAGTAACATAGAATGGGATATATTAAAGCTGAAGAGTTCAGATGAGGTATCTTATAGGAAGGGAGCATTTAAGCTCCATGAAAAAGTCAGGATTTCGACAGAGATTTAATGTGGGGGCATTTGATGGTGACAAATAAGAAATTAAGAGCAAAAAGTACATGGCCTATTTGGAGAATGAAAAGTAGTCTATGAAATAGGAGTCTAGGGTCAGTAGTTATGCAGAGAGGCAAGGGAACAAGCGGTAAGACTTTTGGAATTGATTGGACAGCAAATATATACAGTATTTTATTTAAAGATACATAACTATGTGATAACTATTTTTTAAAGCAAGGGAATTATGCATACAAAATTCAGGGTAGTCGTTACCTCTTGTGGAAGCATGGGAATAAGTCAAGGAACACACATAGATTCAAGGCATTTAGTAATAATCTAGTTCTTAAGATGGGTGGTAGGTTCACGGGTTACTTATTATACTTCTTATATATATACTTTGTATTTTTACATTTATTTCATATTACATAACTAAGATTTTCTGTAATTTTATCAAATTGCATGAAACAAGGTGTGCTTTCTTTGACACGCTTTTTTTTTACATTTTAATGTCTCTAAAATTAGGATGTGTGCTACAATTAGTGATGTCTTAGCACTGTGTCATAGTTTTGTTAGCAGTGCTTTCTTATGCATAAAATAATAGTATGTCTTATAGCCAGTGGAATTTTAGATTCTGTGAAATATGGTATTGAACCATACTGGAGATTAATATAAAGTCATAATTCCTATTCTTTGAAAAAGTTAACTTCTTTGTACCCTACATTTTGCATTTAAAAAGTTTATTTTGGCCGAGGGTGGTGGCTCACACCTGTAATCCTAGCACTTTGGGAGGCCGAGGTGGGCAGATCATGAAGTCAAGAGATCAAGACCACCCTGGCCAACATGGTGAAACCCTGTCTCTGCTAAAAATACACAAATTAGCTGGGCATGGTGGCGCACATCTGTAGTCCCAGCTACTCTGGAGGCTGAGGCAGGAGAATTGCTTGAACCCAGGAGACAGAGGTTGCAGTGAGCCGAGATGGCGCCACTGCACTCCAGCCTGGCGACAGAACAAGACTCTGTCTCAAGAAAAAAAAAAAAAAAGATTCTCTTTGCTAGGCATAGTGGCATGTGCCTGTAGTCCCAGCTACTTGGGAGGCTGTGGCAGGAGGATTGCTTGAGCCCAGGAGTCCAGCCTGGGCAACTTAGTGAGAGTCCATCTCTCTAATAAAAAGAAGTTATTTGTTTTCAGCTGAACGAAAGTTGATGAAAAAGATGCGTACAAAAATGTTCGCAACCTAAATGTTCATCAACAGGAGAATAGGTAAATGACGGTATATTTACGTAACAGAATACTTAAAAGCAATAAAACCAAATGAACTGCTGATACATGCAACCACTTGAATGACTTTTGTAGGTATTGTATTGAATGAAAGCATCCCAAAAGGACCATACCATTTAACCCATTTATACGAAACTGAAGAACAGGAAACCTAATTAATGGTGATAGAAATCAGAATAATGTGTTTACTATATGGGGAAGGGACCATGTGCAAACCTTCTGAGTTGCTGGAAACATTCTGCATCTTGATATCGGTGTGTATGTGCATACCTATGTAAAAATTCATTAGGCCAAGTGCAGTGGCTCACACCTGTAATTCCAACATGTTGGGAGGCTTAGGCGGGCAGATCACTTGAGGTCAGGAGTTTGAGACCAGCCTGGTCAACGTGGTGAAACCCCATCGCTACTAAAAATACAAAATTTAGCCAGGCGTGGTGGTGGACGCCTGTAATCCCAGCTACTCTGGAGTCTGAGGCAGGAGAATTGTTTGTGCCTGGGAGGCAGAGGTTGCAGTGAGCTGAGATCACGCCACTGCACTCCAGCCTGGGTTACAGAGCTAGACTATGTCTCAAAAAAAAAAAAAATTCATTAGCATACTTAAGAGTAGTACACTTTGTATAAGTACTGTAAATGTAACAGTATAAACAGAGGTGATTTTGCATTGAGATATGAAGGGCAGTGAATGGGGAGCCAACTGTGGGGAAATGATCCTAATATAACTTCATTAGTGTATGCCACATTGTATGAAGGTTGTGTATTGTGGTGTTTTTAGAGAATGTCATTATTATTCTGAGACCTACAAGGGTAAAGCTATGTATCTGTGGGTAAAGACAAGGTGTTCTATAAAAAAAATAGTTGCTGCTGGTGTCCTTAAGCTGAGCATGAGCCCCAAGAATATGAGGATGAGGCTAACCTGGACTTACATGTTTGTTTTTTTCAATAAATGTAGGAGTTGGTGATTTTTTTTTTTTTTGAGACAGAGTCTTGCTCTGTCACCTAGGCTCTGTCACCTAGGCTGGAGTGCAGTGGTGCGATCTTGGCTCACTGCAGCCTCTGCTTCCCGGGTTCCAGCGATTCTCCTGCCTCCTACAGGCACACGCCACCATACCCAGCTAATTTTTTTTTTAGTAGAGACAGGGTTTCGCCATATTGGCCAGGCTGGTCTCGAACTCCCGACCTCAGGTGATCTGCCCGCCTTGGTCTCCCAAAGTTCTGGGATTACAGACGTGAGCCACCGTGCCTGTCCAGTAGTCTGTTTTTTCCTTTTTTTCCTTCTCTTCTTCTCCCCCTAAACATAGTTTTTAAAAATTTAGATTAAGTCATTGATGTAACTGTTTCCTGAATCATATACTTTCTGGGCACTCTGTTAGGCACAGGAATACAGAGAGGAGGAAGACATGGTTCATACCTTTGAAGAGCCCATAGTATATAGCTCATGTAATCAAGGTGTTTAGTTACTTGTTTAAAAGTGCTGTGATTAATGTAGATGAGAAAGTGACTACTCCAAGGATATAAGAGAGAATGTTTCACAGAAGAAAAGACATTAGAGCCAGATCTTAGAGGATAGACTACAAAGTAAAGAATGGAGAGTCTGGCATTCTAAGCAGAGGATATAGGATATCCAGAGGCTTGGCCGACTAAAAGTGTACATGTTCCAATGAGCTTTCCTTAGTAAGATACTCTGCTGGCTTTCTATGGCCCTTTGTATTACTCAGACTTTGCCTCACACCTATAAAGCCCTCCATGAGTATGATTTTTAACCATTTACATTCCTCCTCCTCCTCTCTTCTGTTTGCTCTATTGCCTGATGCTAAGGGATCTTCTTTCAGTCCAAAAGCATCTTTTTTTTTTTTTTTGGTCCAAAAGCTGAAATAGTTTTGAACCTTTTTTTCAGGTTTGAAATAGCCTTCCATCTCTCTTATTTAGAAGAATCTTCCTTTTAACACAAAGACCTACTCAAATCAATTTCCTAAGTGAAATCTGAGGAGTAATTAGTAGGGCGAGGCTCCGAGTTTAATTTCCAGTGTTTTTATGTGATTTATGTTAAATGTCCAGATTGAAAAAGTAAAATGAAAATGCTTTAAAAGTTATGTAACATAAACATTTAGCTGCATATTGTAATACATGGTTGCTTTAATTATCTAGTCCTATGTTGAAAGCCCAGTGGGACAATAAATCTAGCTGCACTTGGCTGGCTTTCTTGTAGTTGGAGCTGTTGCTGAGGAAGTGTTGGCAGATGTAATCTCTTGTGTGAGAGTTGTTTTGGACAGACCTTGACTCAGGCTGAACCCAGAGTGGCGCCTGACTTTTCTGCTACTCACAGCTCAGACACCTAGGAGTGGGAAGTGCTGCACCTGCTGGGAGTACAAGAGGGCCCACAATCTTGGCCTCTAGTACTCTATGTGCCTGATGTCTTGTTCTTTCATGTTAGCCACTTGTGTGTATTATTATCTTGCTGAAAAGACAGGGGAGAGCACTTGATACCACTAATTCTAGATTTGAAATTCCTTGGGGCAGTGACTGTGTTTGATTACTACTGAATGCTTAGCACCTAGCACATGGTAAAAACATTTTGATGTTAAAAGTTCCCAGGATACCCTAGTAGCATTGTTATTTTACAGATATAGCTATTTTGTTGTGCATAACTTGAAAGAGACTAAAGAATTCCTTTGTGATTTTCTCCGCTTAATCAGGTTTTCAAGCTAGAAATGCCCTTCTTCAGTCAAATCTTTCTCAAACTCAGCTAGCTACCATTTGGTAAGTTTGTCCCTTAATTACATTTGATTAATTTAACTATGCATTAATTAATTAAACTGTCTCTTCCCTATCATGAGAAAGATACTGTTTCTGTAAAAGTTTGTGACTCAGAGATGCTCTATAAAAACAGCCATTTGAAAGTTAGTATTAAGCTTGGAGGCAAATGTAATTGTGCAGAATGTTGTTGTACCCTTAAGCTACACCACATTTACAAAAAATATTTTCCCCAACAATAGATTAATCTTGGCATACTGTAACTTTTTAACTTTATAAACTTTTTAATTGTTTAAAACTTTTTAGGCCGGGCGTGGTGGCTCAAGCCTGTAATCCCAGCACTTTGGGAGGCCGAGACGGGCGGATCACGAGGTCAGGAGATCGAGACCATCCTGGCCAACACGGTGAAACCCCATCTCTACTAAAAAATACAAAAAACTAGCTGGGAGAGGTGACGAGCGCCTGTAGTCCCAGCTACTCGGGAGGCTGAGGCAGGAGAATGGCGTAAAACCGGGAGATGGAGCTTGCAGTGAGCTGAGATCCGGCCACTGCACTCCAGCCTGGGTGACAGAGTGAGACTTCGTCTCAAAAAAAAAAAAAAAAAACTTTTTGACTCTTGTAATAACACTTAGCTTAAAACACAAACACATTGTACAGAAAGATATTTATATCCTATTCTTTAAAGCTCTTTTTATTTTTAAAATTTATTTTTAGTTTTTAAACTTTTGTTAAAAACTGATACACAAAGACACCCATTTGCTTAGGCCTACAGAGGGTCAAGATCATCAGTATCACTGTCTTCTACCTCCACATCTTGTCTCACTGGAAGGTGTTCAGGGGCAATAACACGCATGGACCCATTGTCCCCTATGATAACAATGCCTTCTGGAATTTATCCTGATGGACCCGCCTGAGGCTGTCTTGCAGTTAACTTTTTTTTCTGTAAGTAGAAGGAGTACACTCTAAAATAACAATAAAAAATGCAGTGTATCCTGAGACTTTGCTGAAGTTTCTTATCAGCTTAAGGAGATTTTGGGCTGAGACAATGGGGTTTTCTAAATATACAATCATGTCATCTGCAAACAGGGACAATTTGACTTCTTCTTTTCCTAACTGAATAATGTGCAAAAATCACAAGCGTTCTTATACACCAGTAACAGACAAACAGAGAGCCGAATCATGAATGAACTTCCATTCACAATTGCTTCAAAGAGAATGAAATACCTAGGAATCCAACTTACTAGGGATGTAAAGGACCTCTTCAAGGAGAACTACAAACCACTGCTCAGTGAAATAAAAGAAGACACAAACAAATGGAAGAACATACCATACTCATGGATAGGAAGAATCAATATCGTGAAAATGGCCATACTGCCCAAGGTAATTTATAGATTCAATGCCATCCCCATCAAGCTACCAATGAGTTTCTTCACAGAATTGGAAAAAACTGCTTTAAAGTTCATATGGAACCAAAAAAGAGCCCGCATTGCCAAGACAATCCTAAGTCAAAAGAACAAAACTGGAGGCATCACGCTACCTGACTTCAAACTATACTACAAGGCTACAGTAACCAAAACAGCATGGTACTGGTACCAAAACAGAGATATAGACCAATGGAGCAGAACAGAGTCCTCAGAAATAATATCACACATCTACAGCCATCTGATCTTTGACAAACCTGACAAAAACAAGAAATGGGGAAAGGATTCCCTATTTAATAAATGATGCTGGGAAAATTGGCTAGCCATAAGTAGAAAGCTGAAACTGGATCCTTTCCTTACTCCTTATACGAAAATTAATTCAAGATGGATTAGAGACTTAAATGTTAGACCTAATACCATAAAAACCCTAGAAAAAAACCTAGGTAATACCATTCAGGACATAGGCATGGGCAAGGACTTCATGTCTAAAACACCAAAAGCAATGGCAACAAAAGCCAAAATTGACAAATGGGATCTAATTAAACTAAAGAGCTTCTGCACAGCAAAAGAAACTACCATGAGAGTGAACAGGCAACCTACAGAATGGGAGAAAATTTTTGCAATCTACTCATCTGACAAAGGGCTAATATCCAGAACCTACAAAGAACTCAAACAAATTTACAAGAAAAAAACAACCCCATCGAAAAGTGGGCAAAGGATATGAACAGACAGTTCTCAAAAGAAGACATTCATACAGCCAACAGACATATGAAAAAATGCTCATCATCACTGGCCATCAGAGAAATGCAAATCAAAACCACAATGAGATATCATCTCACACCAGTTAGAATGGCAGTCATTAAAAAGTCAGGAAACAACAGGTGCTGGAGAGGATGTGGAGAAATAGGAACACTTTTACACTGTTGGTGGGATTGTAAACTAGTTCAACCATTATGGAAAACCGTATGGCGATTCCTCAAGGATCTAGAACTAGATGTACCATATGACCCAGCCATCCCATTACTGGGTATATACCCAAAGGATTATAAATCATGCTGCTATAAAGACACATGCACACGTATGTTTATTGCGGCACTATTCACAATAGCAAAGACTTGGAATCAACCCAAATGTCCATCAGTGACAGACTGGATTAAGAAAATGTGGCACATACACACCATGGAATACTATGCAGCCATAAAAAAGGATGAGTTTGTGTCCTTTGGACATGGATGCAGCTAGAAACCATCATTCTCAGCAAACTATTACAAGAACAGAAAACCAAACACCGCATGTTCTCACTTATAGGTGAGAACTGAACAATGAGACCACTTGGACTCAGGAAGGGGAACATCACACACCGGGGCCTATCGTGGGAAGGGGGGAGGGGGGAGGGATTGCATTGGGAATTATACCTGATGTAAATGACGAGTTGATGGGTGCTGACGAGTTGATGGGTGCAGCACGCCAACATGACACAAGTATACATATGTAACAAACCTGCACGTTATGCACATGTACCCTAGAACTTAAAGTATAATTTAAAAAATAGTAATAATAATTTTAAAAAAGATTAAAAATATATATATATAAAAAATGCAGTACAGTAAATACATTATCCAGTAGCATATTAATAGGTGTTTATTGTTATTGAGTGTTATGTTCTGTACATAATTGTATATGCTGTACTTTTCTACAGCTGGCAGTGCAGTTTGTTTGTTCACAGTAGCATCATCACAAACACATAGGTAATGCATTGCATTATGACAGCTACAATGTCTGCGGGTGATAGGAATTTTTCAACTCCGTTATAATCTTATGGGACCACCATTATAAGTGCAGTCCATTGTTCACTGATATGTCATTATGCAGTTCATGACTATATTTTACAAGAAAAACTGTTGTTTTCTTTGATCTAATCCCTTCTATGGAGAATCAGAGAGTATCTCATTTTTAATATAGGTAAATGTGATTTGGTAGGTGAATTAACCATGGAGTAAGATAAACCACTTTCTCAGAAGGAGTAGGTCTCTTTCTGTTTCAAAGTTTCTTCACTCTCTTTTACGTCATGAAAATCAAGGGTGAAAATTAACTCACTATTGAATGTAAATATGTACATTCAATAGTGAGTTATGTAAATGTATGTATTTACATTTCACTAAAATAAGTGTACCCAGCAGTTTTACCATCATTATCCTTCTTTTAAAAATAAAAAATTGGCCGGGCACGGGTGGCTCATGCCTGTAATCCCAGCACTTTGGGAGGCTGAGGCAGGCGAATCAGAGGTCAGGAGATCGAGACCATCCTAGCTAACATGGTGAAACCCCGTCTCTACTAAAAACACAAAGAATTAGCCGGGCATGGTGGTGGGCACCTATAGTCCCAGCTACTTGGGAGGCTGAGGCAGGAGAATGTTGTGAACCCGGAAGGCAGAGCTTGCAGTAAGCCAAGACTGCCGCTGCACTCCAGCTTGAGCGACAGACCTAGACTCCATCTCAGAAAAATAAAATAAAATAAAAAATTGAACTTCTGAAGCAATATTTTACTCCAAATAGGCTTTATTAAGTTGTGAATTTTATTTTCTTTAGGACTCTGGCTGACATTGATGGTGATGGACAGCTAAAAGCAGAAGAGTTTATTCTTGCGATGCACCTTACTGACATGGCCAAAGCTGGACAGCCATTACCACTGACTTTACCTCCTGAGCTTGTGCCTCCATCTTTCAGGTGAGTGTGCCTGGAGGTCGAGAGCTATGGTTTTGATAACTTGGCAGATGTGATTTAGAAGAGAGTTAAATATTTGCACTGCCATTTATTTTAGTAGTCAATGAGTAATACTGGAAAAGGGTACATGTTAGAAGTAGGTGTGGGCCAGGCATGGCAGCTTACGCCTGTAATCATAACACTTTGGGAGCTGAGGTGGAGGATCACATGAGGCCAGGAGTTCAGGACGAGCATGGACAACATAGTGAGACCCCGTCTCTGCAAAAATAAAAATAATTAGCCAGATGCGCCTGTAGTCTTAGCTACTCTGGAAGCTGGGGCAGGAGGATCACTAGAGCATAGGAATTAGAGGCTACAGTGAATTGTGATTATGCCACAGCACTCTAGCCTGGGCAGCAGAGCAAGACCCTGCCTCAAAAAAAAGAAAAAAAAAAAAGTGAGTGTGTTTTCATCATGTTATGCATAAGGAAGCTAATGACTAAGGAGATAAAGAAAAATTTGCCCAAGAACAAAAATTAGCTGAACCATGATTTGAATCCAGATTTCTCTGTCTTGAATATCCATATACGGCTATATATTGTAATGACATACCAAACTGTTTTAAATATCTTTAATACTATATTCCCAATATCAAATTGCTGTAATCACTGGTAGTCTGTGTAATCTAGTCTGAAAATGTCCAGACTGCACGATGCTAACTTTGTTGTTTGATTTTTTTAGAGGAGGAAAGCAAATTGATTCCATTAATGGAACTCTGCCTTCATATCAGAAAATACAAGAAGAGGAACCTCAGAAGAAATTACCAGGTATCATTGAGTGTCAAAGTTGTATATTTATACTGAATTCTTTTAAATTCTACCTTTAAGTGTAACTGAATATTTAGAATGTTTATATTTTTAATATTTTATGTGCTATATGAGAAAAAACTTTGATAGATGGGATGTATTTTGATATAAAATTAAGATGGTCAAAATGAAAAGAGTATGAAGAAGAGACAATTATATGTATTTGACAGGAATATAGACGTCTGAGTTAAAGTATTTCTCCTACTTTAGCCTGAGTTATTAGAGCAAACTTTGTAATGAAATCTTTACCTTTAAAAACATTTAAATATTGGTTGAAATAATACATTTGTAGCTGTTTTAATATATTAGGATGCTAATGACATCAAAACAAATGTATAACCACACAGCTTTGATTGTCTTTGAAGAAGAGAAAAAAGTCAAAAAAGTTCTTTTTTTTTTTCCCTGAGACGGAGTTTCTCTCTTGTTACCCAGGCTGGAGTGTACAATCCCGGTTCACTGCAACCTCTGCCTCCCGGGTTCAAGCAATTCTCCAGTCTCAGCCTCCCGAGTAGCTGGGATTTCAGGTGCCCACCACTATGTCTGACTAATTTTTGGTATTTTTAGTAGAGACGGGGTTTCACCATGTTGGCCGGGCTGGTCTTGAACTCCTGACCTTAGGTGATCACCCACCTTGGCCTCCCAAAGTGTTGGGATCACAGGCGTGAGCCACCACGCCCGGCCAAAAAAGTATTTTTATTGGCAAGTTTATAAAAATTATTTCTCTCTCGAATGGATTCAAACTTAAAAATTTTATTTTCTAAAATTGAATATCCTTGAAGAAAGTAGATATTTTTCCACTTAGATTTGAGTTAAAATTATCCTCAGGGGAAGTATTCAAACACTAATAGCACTCAAATGATCACAAGGCATAAGTATTGTAGAAACTAGATTATAGGTTCTGTAGGCTGTTCATGTGTGTGGATGCTGATGGCATACCCTGTTCAGTTACTTTTGAGGACAAACGGAAAGCCAACTATGAGCGAGGGAACATGGAGCTAGAGAAGCGACGCCAAGCCTTGATGGAGCAGCAACAGAGGGAGGCAGAACGTAAAGCCCAGAAAGAAAAGGAAGAGTGGGAACGAAAACAGAGAGAATTACAAGAACAAGAATGGAAGAAACAACTTGAATTAGAAAAACGCTTGGAGAAGCAACGGGAATTGGAGAGACAACGAGAGGAAGAAAGGAGAAAAGAGATAGAAAGACGAGAGGTTATTTTTAAATTTTTTATTTCTTAAGAAAATCATTACATTTAATAAGTGACTGTATTTCATTTGATTAAAAAATGCTTATTTTTGAATTTTTGTTTTGCCTTTTGCTCTGCATCATTTCGTCCTCATCCTATACAAATCTGATCCTTCCTTCCCTTGAGGAGGGAAAGAGGCTTCTTGCTTATAAGGAGTTTTCAGAACTGGTAAGTGGTAGAGAAAGCATCCTCTGCAGGTGATATCTCAATGAAAGGAGGATTGACTGCAGAGCTAAGTTGAGTGAGGAGCTAAGGTTAGTTAGCCAGCTGAGCAAGTCATTAGACTAAAGCAAGTTTAAGATCCAGATTAAGAGTCCAAGGAATTGGAGAGGCAGAAAGATGAGAGTGGGGCATTGAAAGTCTCTCTAGAGAGGAATCAAGAGGATGGGCTTACACAGGCCTTTGGGATAGTGTTGCTGGGAAAGAAGGGTCCTTAGGAGGACTGGCTGTGTTTTAAAGGGCCAGGGATGAATCACAGAAAGTTATTGCGCACTGAAATAATATAAATAGAATTTTTTCCCCCAGATACCAGAATAGAGGGGAAATTATTCCTGTTAACATTTATATTTATGGAGTCATTCTGTAACTTATTAAGAGAAAAATGACCGTAACAAAAGGATGGTCTTCCAACCTGGGCAACATGGTGAAACCCTGTCTCTACAAAAAGTACAAAAATTAGCCAGGCGTGGTGGCATGTGCCTGTAATCCCAGCTACCTCGGGGGCTGAGGCAGGAGAATCGCTTGAGCCCAGGCAGTGGAGGTTGCAGTGAGCCAAGGTGGTGCCACTGCATTCCAGCCTGGGTGACAGAGCGAGATGCTGTCTGGGGGATGGAAAAAAAAAAAAAAAACTCTTGAAGAAATCAGAAAATACGATAGATGAAGCCACTTTTTTGGAAGTCTTTAGACCCATTAATAAAACTAGATTTGCCTAGCTACCCTTAGCCACTATAGCCACTAAGTGCTAAACTCTGCCTAACTTCTATTGTCTTCCCAGTTTTTGAATCATGCAAAATTTTTAATTTAAAAATTAAGTTTAATTCCTTTTTTTTCAGGCAGCAAAACAGGAACTTGAACGACAACGTCGCTTAGAATGGGAGAGAATTCGGCGACAGGAACTTCTCAATCAAAAGAATAGAGAACAAGAAGAAATTGTCAGGTTAAACTCTAAAAAGAAGAGTCTTCATCTTGAGTTGGAAGCACTGGTATGGCTGAAGTTTAAGTGAAATCTATCTGAATGATGCCAGAGCTACTTGTTGAAAAATGTAATTGTGGGCCAGGCGCAGTGGCTCATACCTGTAATCCTAGCACTTTGGGAGGCCAAGGCGAGTGGATCAACTGGGGTCAGGAGTTCAAAACCAGCCTGGTCAACATGATGAAACTCCATCTCTACTAAAAAAAAAAAAAGATACAAAAAATTAGGTGGACATGGGCCAGGCGTGGCGGCTCACTGTAATCCCAACATTTTGGGAGACTGAGGCGGGCAGATCACAAGGTCAGGAGTTCGAGACCAGCCTGATCAATATAGTAAAACCCCGTCTCTACTAAAAATACAAAAGTTAGCCAGGAGTGGTGGTGTGCGCCTGTATTCCCAGCTGCTCGGGACACTGAGGCAGAAGGACCACTGGAACCTGGGAGGTGGAGGCTGCAGTGAGCCAAGATCGCGCCTCTACACTCGAGCCTGGGCAACAGAGTGAGACTCCGTCTCAAACAAATAAACAAAAATTAGCCAGCTGTGGTGGATGGTTGCAGGTGCCTGTAATCCTAGCTACTTGGGAGGCTGAGGCAGGAGAATCACTTGAACCCAGGAGGTGGAGGTTGTAGTGAGCCAAGATCGCGCCACTGCACTCCAGCCTGGGTGACAGAGTGAGATGCCATCTCAAAAAAAAAAAAAAAAGAAAAATGTAATTGTGTTTTAAAATCTCTCATGAATTAGTTATGTCTTAATGTCATTAAATAGTCACATTTTCATATAAACAGACTGTACAATATGGTTTACTGAGAAAAGGATAATGACTCAGAATGCTGAGAATTATGTTGTAGCGTCAGTTCAGACACTGATGAACCATGTACTCCTGGGCAAGACATTTCCTTTCTCTATGCCTCACTTTTCCCTTGCATGAAATCAAGAGTTGTGTTAGTTGAGTGATTTTCAGTTTTCAGATTGGTCTCTGTAAGACGGTCTGAGGAGGACCAAGTAGAGGCAGGAGAGGGGAAGCTTGGGCAGCAGAACAGTGATCTCTCCCCAACTCTTTCCACACTTCACAACAGAGAAACTTGACATTTATGTGCTTTACTTTTCTTGGTGTTTCACTCAAGATTTGCTTGGGAAAAAAAAGATTCTACTATTAAAAAGACAACAGATTTGAAACTGCTGACCTAAATGATCTCTTACAATTCCAGTTCTGCAGGATTGTAGTTCTTAGCTAATATTGGCCACTAAGCAGTTTTTACAAATCAGATGTTAGAGGATCAAGTTGTTAAAAGACTTTGTTTGAAATGCGTGGTGAGAAGATATAAAAGATCTGGCACTATTCTGCCACAACCCTAGAATCCCATGAGCCTACCTTGATCATATAGTAGGGTTTTGCAAAAATGCATACCTAGTCGTGTAGTAGAGCCAGATTTAGATCTTGTGTGATTATAACATTTTATTTGGTTGATGACTTGAATTACATTAAAAATTACTTTTTAAATCATCACAATATCTTTAGTCAGAGATATTCTATGCCTTCAAATGGATAGACATACATACCACAAGTATTAATCATGCCAGAGTATTACAAAACAGTTGCAAAAAACTTTTAACTTCTTTGCACTATTTTAATATGTATGTGTCATCTTGACTATATATAATGGGAAGAGACCTTAAGATTGACTGGTTTTCCCTCAAGAATTGGTGCATAACACGAAGCACAGTAACAGGTGAATGTGCAGAGTCTGGAAAGGTCCAGAGCCTATACATATCCCATGCTGAGGATAAGAATGTGAGCTCCAGCATAGATACACATATTCCTTTCAGTGTATGTATTTCAAATATGAAACATACTCTTCAGTAAAACTTTTCATCAGTGATTTTTAACCAGGGATGTCATTTCCCCTCACTCTACTCTATTAGTTTGGTAGGGCTGCTGTAACAAAATACGGCAGGCTAGGTGGCTTAAACAACAGAAATTAATTTTTTCACAGCTCCTAAGATCTAAGACCAAGGTATCCATAGGCTTAGTTTCTTGCAAGGCCTCTTTTGGTGGCTTGCAGGTGGCCATCGTTCGTTGTGTCCTTATATGGTCTTTTCTCTGAGCGTGTTTATCTCTGATGCCTTTTGTGTTCAGATTTCCACTTCTAATAAGGACACCAGTTAGACTGAATTAGGGTCCACCCGTATGACTTTGTTTAACCTTAATCACCTCTTTAAAGGCCCTGTCTCCAAATATTGTCACATTCTGAGGTACTGAGGCTTGAGACTTTAACATGAATTTTGGGGGACACAGTTCAGCCCATAACCCCCCATGTCACCCTTCTTCTTAGGTCCTGTTGAGAATCTCTGCTGTTTGGTTTGATTTCTTTGCAGAAGAAGAGGAAAAAAGGAGAAGAATATTAGTATAGAACAGAACTGTTGCCAAAACGTTCCTCCTGGGCACTGTTTCATTAGAGGAAATTAGATGGCAATATTTAGGGTAGAAATAGAAGTTCAGAGAAGGTAATGCTGAACATCACATGCAAACATTTATTCCTCCTCATCATTCTTTGAGAGTGTCTCTGATATTAATATTGTTAATTAATATTGTCTAATTAATGCTGAATTCAGAAAAAAATTCAATGTGTTATGTTTCTGCTTTCCCATACTAACATATGGGCTCTTGCACTCTGACAGTATGTTTCCCACTAATAACTTGAGTTAACAGACACAACTCTGAAACACATTCCACTTGGTTTTAAGCATTTGTTTCAGGATGAATATGAATATAACTGACGTTTTAAAATTTAACTAAAAATATTATTCTCCTTGTAGAAACATTTTCTGTTAGCATTTTATGTTACTCTATATTTATATGATCTTCCTATAGAATGGCAAACATCAGCAGATCTCAGGCAGACTTCAGGATGTCCGACTCAAAAAGCAAACTCAAAAGACTGAGCTGGAAGTTCTGGATAAGCAGTGTGACTTGGAAATTATGGAAATCAAGCAACTTCAACAGGAACTTCAGGTAAGCCCTTCGCTGCTAAATTGTTCTTAAACATATACAATTACTAGTTCTCCTGGGCTGAGCATGGCTGTAATCCTAGCACTTTGGGAGGCTGAGGCGAGTGGATCCCTTGAGGTCAGGAGTTCGAGACCAGCCTGGTCAACAGGGCGAAATCCCGTCTCTACTAAAAATACAAAAAAATTAGCTGGGTGTGGTGGCACATGCCTGTAATCCCAGCTATTCCGGAGACTGAGGCAGGAGAATTGCTTGAATCCAGGAGGCAGAGGTTGCAGTGAACCAAGATCGCACCACTGTACTCCAGCATGGGTGATAGAGCGAGAATCCATCTCAAAAAACAAAACAGTTCTTCCAATAGAGTTTTGTTTTGGGGGTCAATAACCTTTGAGTCTTTAATAGACTTGTGATCTAAATACACACAATCCTGTATACAATATCGGGAAGTCCATAGACCTACTAAAACTAAAACTCTGCTACACGTCTGGTTAAGTTTTGCTTAATATATATACATAAGTGGACATTTACCACTTTGAGTTTTAACTCTTTAACAATGTTTATGCATTCTTAATTCATTACTTTTGCTATAACAAAAGACCTTAGACTGGGTAATTTATGAGCAACAGAAATTTATTACTCATAGTTCTAGAGACTGAGAAGTCCAAGATCAAGGTGTTGGCAGATTCAGTGTGGGATGAGGGCTTGCTGTCTCCTTTAAAACTAATGCCTTCTTGCTGAATCTTCACATGCAGAAAGGGTAAGGCAGTTCCTTCAACTTCCTTTATAAGGACAGTCATCTCATGAATGAGTGTGGAGCCTCCTAAAGCCCTACTTAATAGTACTGCATTGGGAGTTAGGTTCCAACATATGAATGTTGGGGACATATCAACATTCAGACCATAACATACATTAAAATAAGGTTATTGCTACTAATTTCAGGAAATTTTGACTTTAAGTTATTCTTTTTAAAATTATGATGAGAACTTGAATGTGTTCCTTGGGGTCCTGGTAATTCTCTTGTTTACTTGTGCAGTAGGGTCTGGTTCAATAATTACTATTTGCAGAATGGGGCTGGGGAAGCCTTCTGCATCTCTAGAGTTCTCTTATCCATTTTCTCTTACTGCATGAATTGGCAATTAATCAGTCTTTGCTTTGTTACAGGAGAGATAAAAGCCAAAAACATTTTCTATCTGATTTAAACCTGCTTTCCTAGTTTTTAGTCCCTCTTTTTTTTTTTTCCCTCTGTCACCCAGGCTGGAGTGCAGTGGCATGATCTTAGCTCACTGCAACTTCTGCCTCCCAGCCTCAAGCAATTCTCCTGCCTCAGCCTTCTGAGTAGCTGGGATTACAGGCACCCATCACCACACCTGGCTAATTTTTGTATTTTTAGTGGAGACGGGGTTTCACCATGTTGATCAGGCTGGTCTTGAACTCCTGACCTCAAGTGATCCACCTGCCTTGGCCTCCTAAAGTGCTGAGATTACAGGCGTGAGCCACCGCACCTGGCACCTGGTGTTTAGTCCCTCTTTGATATACACATATTCATCCTGGAGTGTCATGGCATGCTTATACACACCATCTAGCTCCGCTCTGCTGTCATTCATCAATAATCTGAAAATTGCAGGCTTCTAGACACCCCATTTACAAAGACTTTCTTCACTGCCTTTTAATTTCAGCCAGTCACTCAAAATTGACTTTGGCTTAAATATTTCTTGGCATAATTTCATTCTAGTTGCTTCATAAGTTGTAAGCAGTTTACAACTATGTGTTATTTCTAAAGTAAGTTTCAAAGATGAGTAAATCCTGTTTTAAAGTTTTCAAAAAAACTGTTGGACAATATTATAACATTTTAATCTGCTACTTTTTTCTTTTTATAAGGAGTATCAGAATAAGCTTATCTATCTGGTACCTGAGAAGCAATTATTAAATGAAAGAATTAAAAACATGCAGTTCAGTAACACACCTGGTAAGTCTCTAAGGTTTGTCTGATTACTTGTATCCTTTTCTGAATATGTCAGTAACCTTGTTACTTTTTTAAAATTAGAAAAAGTATTCTGTTATAAATAACACTTTTTGCCTGTAAGTTTAAAAATAATGTGAAAAACATTATCGCAGATGTTAGAGCATTTTTAGTGATAAAAAGTAGATAAAAATAAAATAGTAATGATTGTGGTATGACTTCATATCTTGATGATATTTTTATTTATATAATTGAAATATCAAAGAAAGTATTAGACTATGAGATCTAAATTTGGCTCTAACACAAGACTACATGTGCATTTTGAAAAGTCCTGCACTGATTTTAAAGACCTGTTCAGGAGGAGGCTTTACGGTGGGGCCGCACCTGGAATTCTAGGGTGTTAGCATGCAGCAGTCATAGGCTTAAGCAGGATGGTATGCCCTGCCCAGACCCTTTGTATTATCTAACTCTGTGCTTCATACAAAGAATTTTACCATCTTGGCCCTCTGACACTGGTGGAACTAAACATTCCAGGATAATTTATGGGATTGTGACTTTTTTTGTTTTTGCTCAGGTCCCAATGAGAAAACTGAAAAAAATTCTCTGTATTGGATACCATACCAATAAAAGTGTAGCAGAAACAAGGTTTATTTAAAGAAAAGCAAATCTGCAGATGTTGTGTTACAACTGACTCAAGTATCCTAAATGTCACTCATTAAGTCTCTATCATGTCAGTTTTTCCATTGTAGGTCTCTTTATTATACTTTTGGCTGTTTACGAAGTTCAGTAAATTGTATCCCCTTCTTTGCCCAAGTTCTGAACAAATTAAGAAATAAGGCAAAGGAACAAGACAAATGAGAGACCAAATCACTATCTCATTATTGATGAAGCTGATTTTAGGCAGCATGGTTTATCTGTGGGTGGTATAGTTGCACCTATAAAACACTGAATTCATGAACAAAGTAGAATGCAGGTTTCCTGTGGGCAGTTAAGTCTCTAGAGAGCGAGGGCTAGGAGGAGTCTAGGCTGTACATTCCTAGGTCCTTATCTTGAGCTCACCATTTAGTGAAAGGAAGGAAAGAAGCTGGGATTGTTGGGCTAGTACAGGGTCCTTCATGTGGAAGAAGTATCAGAAATAAAGTTCACTCTCGTGAACTATTTTTATTGTGTCTCCCGCCTTCCACTGATGTGGTCTGTCCATGTCCCTGCTCAGACAGTATTCCTTATACTTGATTCTTTTCTGTTCAAAGTATATCAGCCCCCACCTCACCCCTACACAGGCATTCCAGAGGCAGGGCGAGCTAACCCACCTGATCTGCACAGTGGCAGAAATATGTCTTTATTATTGTCATTGTTGTCGTTGTTCCTATTTGAATTGTGAATAAAATATAGAATATCTCTTATTGAGGACGTGATGGGGCTGTTCTTTCTCTGTGAAATGTAATCCAGTGCAGCTGTTACCTATTTATTTATTTAGCCATAGTCCAATTTAAAATAGGAAGCTTTTGTTTGGGATTTGAAAAGTACCCTGTATCCCTTAGATTCCTTTCCCTATAACAGTTGCCATTTAAGATTACCAGCCATGTGCCAAGCACTGTGTAAGTCAGTTTTGTTGCATTCTTTCCTTTAATCTTTACAATAACCCTGTGGTATAGTTATTATTCCCATTGTGTAGCTCAGGAAAACTGAGGTTCAGGAGATTAAGTAGTTACCCAGGATGATGCAATCATAGTAGTCAAATTCATGTCTGACTGTAAAGCCCACTGTACTACCATGTTCTTTGTCTTATCTTCCAGTTACCCAACATAGTGTTCATGTATATCATCAAATTTGGTATTAAAATATGCATTATTAGTGATATACATTGTTATGAATAAAGAAGAAATATGGGCCAGGTGCAGTGGCTCACACCTGCAATCCTAGCACTTTGGGAGGCCAAGGCGGGAGGATCACGAGGTCAAGAGATCGAGATCATCCTGGCCAACATGGTGATATGCTGTCTCTACTAAAAATACAAAAATTAGCTGGGCATGGTGGCGCACGCCTGTAGTCCCAGCTACTCAGGAGGCTAAGGCAGGAGAATCACTTGAACTTGGGAGGTGGAGGTTGCAGTGAGCTGAGGTCACGCCACTGCACTGTAACCTGGTGACAGAGCGAGACTCCGTCTCAAAAAAAAAAAAAAAGAAGAAGAAGAAATATGCAGCTATAACACTTTGCTGATAGACATGAAAGATTCCTGAATAGGCTGGGCACTGTGACTCATGCCTGTAATCCCAGCACTTTAAGATGCTGAGGTGGGCAGATCACTTGAAGCCAGGAGTTTGAGACCAGCCTGGCTAACGTGGTGAAACCCCATCACTATTAAAAATGCAAAAATCAGCAGGGGTGGTGGCACGCATCTGTGGTCTCAGCTACTCGGAAGTCTGAAGCATTAGAATCACTTGAACGTGGGAGGCAGAGGTTGCAGTGGGCTGAGATGGTGCCACTGCACTCCAGCCTGGGCAGTAGAGTGAGACTCTGTCTCAAAAAATAAAAATAAAAAAAATAGATTCCTGAGTAACTAGAGACATTTTGTGTTCCTAAATGAACTAGCTTAATGTTATATTATACATGAATACTACGTCAGTTCTCTCCTAATTCATATATTCTGTTCTTTTTGGGTTTCTTTAAATGAAACTTGGCAAGATAACTGACAAATTCATCTGAAAAATAAATTGTACAAGATTAGGCAAAACTTGAAAAAGAAAAACTTTGGTAGGGGGGAGGAGACTAACCCTATCAGATATCAAAACATAAGATATGAAAGTTAGAGTGCCTAAAATAGTTTGTTATTGATCAGAAATAGAAAAGTAGAACAATGGAATTGAATAGAGTCTAGACAAAAACCTATGCATGAATGACAACTTAGGATAAGATAAAGTTGGCACTTAACATTAGTGGGGAAAAGATGGACTTTCAGTAAGTGATTTGGGAGACAGTGGATTATCTGAAAGAGTTGCAGGGGAGCTCTTTACTGCTCTCTATGTACAGAAATAAATTCTAGATAAACTAGCAGGCTAAACATAAAAACAACTTAAGAAAAACTATTATAAAACTGGAAAATATTTTATAATCTTGGTATGAGGAAAGTCTCTTTAAACAATATATAGAGTCATGAAGAAAATTATTTACAGATTTGATGATATAAAAATGAAAAAGTCATAATGAAAGACAGCATAAACACTAAAAAATTTGAAGTACATGTAATACAAGAATTTAGAGCTTCTACAAATCAAAAATTACGACAACCCAATAGAAAAATATAGGCAAAGGATAAGACCTAACAATTCAAGACCGTGGCCGGAAGCATAAATAGATGTTTCTTTGACTTCACTGGTTATCAAGAAAATATAAATTAAAATAACAATCAGGTTTCTTTTTTGCCAATTAGCAAAAATGAAAAAAAGATTAATAATATCCAGTATAGATGAGGGTTTGCAGAAACAGGTATTGTTGGTGTCGTAAGTTGATACAGCTTTTTGGAATAGTAGTTTGGCCATTTCTGTCAAAATTTAAAGTATGCATTAACAGAATGAAAGACAAAAATCTATGAACCACATGATCATCTCAATAAATAACAGAATGAGTATTTGACAAAGTTTAACATCCTTTCATGATAAAAACTCTCAAAAAAACAGATATAGAAGGAAATTTCTTCAACATAATAAAGGCCATTTATGAAAAGCTCACAGCTATCATAATCAATGGGGGGAAACTAAAGACTTTTCATCTAAGACAGGGGTGTCCAATCTTTTGGCTTCCCTGGATCACATTGGAAGAATAATCATCTTGGGCCACACATAAAATCCACTGACACTGATAATAGCTGATGAGTGCTAAAAAAATCTCATAATGTTTTAAGAAAGTTGATGAATTTGTGTTGGACCCCATTGAAAGCCATCCTGGGCCGCATGCGGTCCACGGCCTATAGGTTGGATAAGCTTGATCTAAGATCTCGTATGAGGTGGGGATATGCACTTTCACCACTTCTGTTCAACATAATACTGGAAGTACTAGCAAGACTACTCAGACAAGAAAAAGGAATAAAAAACATTCAAATTATAAAAGTAGTAGTAAAATTATCCCTGTTTGCAGATGACATGATCCTGTATGTTGAAAACCCTGAAGACGTCTATAAAACTTAGAACTAATAAATGAATTGAGTAAAGTTGTAGGACACAAAATCAGCATACAAAAATCAGTTGCATTTTTTACACCAATAACTATTCAAAAAAGAGACCAAGAAAACAATGTTATTTATGACGGCATCAAAAATAATTAAATACTTAGGAATAAATTTGACCAAGGAGGGGAAATATCTGTAACTGAAAACTGTAAAACATTGATGGGAGAAATTGAAAAAGACATAAATAAATGGAAAGATACTCCATGTTCATGTATTGGAAGAATTATTATTTTAAAAATTATCCGTACTACCCAAAGCAGTATACAGATTCAACACAATCCCTATCAGAATTCCAATAGCACTTTCACAGAAATAGAAAAAGCAATTTTAAAACGTATATGGAATCACAGAAGACTTCAAATAACCAAAGCAGTCTTGAGAAAGAAAAACAAAGTTGGAAGCATCACACTGCCTATTTGCAAATATTATGAAGCTATAGTAATCAGAACAGTATGGTACTGGCATAAAGACAGACATAGGGGCAACATGGGTGAACCTGCAGGATGTTACATTAAGCAAAATAAGCCAGGCACAGAAAGACAAATACAATATGGTTTCATTTATTTGTGGAGTGTGTATATTTATCCATAAAAGTAGAGAATAGAATGGTGGCTACCAGAGCTGGTGGGAGAAAAGGGGATCACTGGGAGTTTGCTCAAAGGAAATCAACATTTCAATTAGATAGGAGGAATAAGTTCAAGAAATCTATTGTATAACCTGGTGACTATAGTTAATAACAGTGCATTGTATTCTTGAAAGTTGCTAAGAGAATAGATTTTAAGTGTTCTCACCACAAAAATGGTAAGTATGTGAGGTAATGCATATGTTAATTAGCTCAATTTAGCCATTTTACAATGTGTATATATTTCAGAACAACATGCATACTGTATATACATTTTTTAATTGTTGAGTACAAAAGACAGACTTATGGAATAGAATAGAGAGCCCAGCTAATTAACATATGCATTATGTTAATCAGCTCAATTATGCATATGTTAATCAGCTCAATTTAGCCATTTTACAATGTAAACATATTTTAAAACAACATGCATACAATATATACAATTTTTTCTCAATTATGAGACATATAGACTTATGAAATAGAATAGCCCCAAAATAAACCCAAGTATATATGGTCAACTAATTTTTGACAAGGGCATTAAGAAGACACAATGGGAAAAGGATAGCCTCTTCGATAAATGGCATTGGGAAAACTGGATATCCACCTGCAAAAGAATGAAATTGGACTCTTATACCATACTCAAAAATCAGCTCAAAATGGATTAAACATAAGACATGAAACCATAAAACTCCTAGAAGGAAACATAGACAAAAGCTCTTGACATTGAGCTTGGCAATGATTTTTTGGATATTACTCCAAAAGTTCAGGAAACAAAAATGAACAAGTGGGACTACATCAAACTAAAAAGCTTCTGCACAGTAAAGGAAACAACAAGATGAAAAGGCAGTCTATGGGATGGGAGAAAATACTTGTGAGCCATATATCTGATAAGTGGTTTATATCCAAAATACAGGGAATATATATAACTCAATACCAAAAATCAAAAAACCCAATTTCAAAATGGGCAAAGGACCTGAGTGGACATTTCTCCAAAGAAGACTTAAAAATGGTAAAGAGGTACTTAAAAAGGTACTCAACATTATTAATCATCAGGGAAATGCATATCTAAACCACACTGAAATATAATATCACCTCACACCTGTTAGGATGGCTGTTATCAAAAAGATCAGAGATAACGAGTGGTAGTGAGGGGGGACGAGGGAACCCATGTACACTGTTGGAGGAATGTAAATTGGTATAGCTGTTATGGAAAACAGTATGAAGGTTTCTAAAAAAAATTAAACTCTTGTATGATACAGCAGTCTCACTTCTGAATGTATATTCAAAGGAAACAAAATTACTGTCTCAAAGAGATATTTGCACTCCCTTATGCTAAATGCAGTAAGTCAGTTACAGAAAGACAAATACTGCATGACCTCACTTACATATAAAATCTAAAAAAGTTGAATTCCTATACGGAAACTGAGAATAGAAGAGTGGTTACCAGGGGTTAGAGAGAGGTGGAAATGGGTAGGTGTTGATCAGTGGGTACAGACCCACATCTACTCATACCAGTCAGAAAGATGATAATATAAATTATGCAGTAGCCATAATGTAGACTACCATGGAGCAGTTTAAAAGGATGAACTAGATTATTTGTCCTGATCGATAAGGTATCTTATTAAATTCAAAACAAGTTGCACAGCAATGTAGACAATATGATTCTATTAAAACCCATGGAAATAAAAGTCGAATATGTACACATCTAAATGTAAATGCCTAAAAGGGGGATGAACTTGCAGTTGAGACGGAGGCCTTTTAATTTTTTACTCTATATGTTTCATTTTATTTAAATTTTGTACTTCTGTACTTTAAAAATATGATAAAGTTAAAAATAGGCATTTAAATAGATAATATTGCTATTTTAATTTATTGTAATGTATTCTGCATTATATATTTCCATCTGGTTTCTTCGTCCCTGCATGAATATGTAAAAAAAGATAATATAAAATGAAACCTTCTGTTCTTACCTCCTAAAATAATGTTACTAAATAATCTAGTTAGTAATACTTATTAAATCTTGGCTGTGAATATTTCCCTGTTCTTGGGAGCACTAAGAATAAATGGAAAGCTACTTTAACTATAGCTTCTATTAATTGAATATTAAGTGTGGGCCAGAGTATACAATGGCTTTATATCCATCACCTCATTTAATGTAGTATGATGCTCATTATACAGATGAAAAACCTGAGGATTAGATTGGTGAAGTATTTTTCCTAAAGTAGAATTGCACTTCAAGTCCTAGTCCTTTTGAATGGAGAACCAAGGCTTATAACCATTTCCTCTGATGCTCTTTCCAGCATATAATCTGGGAAGTGGAAATAACAACTGTTTTCTCTTGTACTGGTCTACATTATGTCTATACATCCTTCGTGTTGGTCTAGTTACATCAATTTGACCAAACAGTAAATGGCATGCTGGTAATAACATATGAACTTCTACAAAATGTAAACTCTCTGATGTTTGTTTTTCAGATTCAGGGGTCAGTTTACTTCATAAAAAATCATTAGAAAAGCAAGAATTATGCCAAAGACTTAAAGAACAATTAGATGCTCTTGAAAAAGAAACTGCATCTAAGCTATCAGAAATGGATTCTTATAACAATCAACTAAAGGTATTTATTTTTGATACTATTTATTTTTAGGTAACTTCTTACCTTCATTATTTTGATTTAATAGAATAAATAGCTAAAGCTATTATATATATTACATTTTCATAATTTATTTTATAATTTCAAAACTACAAGAATTTCAAGACTGTTTTTAATGTTCTAGTTATATGACATAGTGTCATATAACTAAACATATACTTTATCACAGTTTCCAGTTTTTGATGACTATGTGCTGTTTGTATTGGCATCTATACATTTCCAGAACAATTGCCTTTGTCAGTATGACAGAACTGATCTCAGCCAACGTGATACTAGGCAATTTTCAGAAATGGGAAATATGGAAAATTTGAAATAATTCAGGTGGTAGAGGCTCTTTCAACACAGTTTTTCTTTTGTTTCCTTGTTAAGTGTAATTTAATTAACCTTTGTTAAATAATGCAATAATCAATGGAATCTAAAACAGAATCTGGCACTATGAACTTTGCATGAAAAGCAAGTTAATGTTTCTTTATTTGCCGCAGTGGCAGAGCAGATGTCCAAAACATAGACTGTCTGCATATCATTCACCACAGTGTTCATTGTATACTGAAGCTATACCTATGAAAGAAACTAAAAACCAGACTCATGGCATATAATGTAAATTTGGGAATAGTCTCAGTTATTCCTTGCTAACAATATAAACTTTCCAGAGCGTAAAGTATTCTCTGTAAGAAATAAAGCTTTTCATAAAGCTTTTGTATAAGAAATCTCTCTCTTCATATGGCTTTTATCATGCTGACTTATTTAGAATAACATTAACACCAAATACAGAGTAAACAGCATGCTAAAGAAAGGACAACATGGTGGCTTCAGGTAAGGAAGGGGAATTTGAGGTGAACAATGTTAATACACTTTACACAAGCATATATTCAGTAGAAAAAAATTTTGTAGAAAACGAAATCATTTGTCATTGCTGGTTAGACAAGCCAGCCAACTTATCTTCCCTATATTATTTCTTTAAAAAATCTACGTAACTGGGCGCAGTGGCTCACGCCTGTAATCCCAGCACTTTGGGAGGCCGAGGCGGGCGGATCACGAGGTCAAGAGATCGAGACCAGCCTGGCCAACATGGTAAAACCCCGTCTCTACTAAAAATACAAAAATTAGCTGGGCGTGGTGGCATGCACCTGTAGTCCCAGCTACTTGGGAGGCTGAGGCAGGAGAATCGCTTGAACCCAGGAGGTGGAGGTTGCAGTGAGCCGAGATGACACCACTGCACTCCAGCCTGGCGACAGAGTGAGACTCCGTCTCAAAAAAAAAAAAAAAAAAAAAAATTAATTAAAAAAAAAATCTGTACATAGTTTAATTGGCTTTTTATCTGCCTTATCTTACAGTGTGGGAATATGGATGACTCTGTTCTTCAGTGCCTTTTGTCTCTGCTAAGCTGTCTCAACAACCTCTTCCTCTTACTTAAGGTTATTTTCTAATATCTAGCTTCTTTTCTTTGAGTTACTTTACTGTTTTTTTTTAAACTAGACTATTCTTTGCCTTTATCTGAGTATCTTTGTTTGAAATAACATATACAATATAAACCTTTTTCTTTCTGCTTGCTTGAATATCCTTCTGCTGTCTAACTGCCTGTTCGAGTCTAATGCCAGAAATCAGTAAGGTTGCCCACAGTAACCTTTCTCCAAAGAAGCCCAGGACACTTAGAAATATAATTTGGTTCCTTTACAACATCCCTGTGAGTGGGTTAAGTGATAAGATGATTACTAACTCTGTTCAAAGGAAAATGTGAGATTAAATCACTTACCCATATCACTGAAAATCAATGTTTAAAATAAAACTTAATACTTTATGAAATCTAGGGCAAGTTTATGTCATATATGCACCAAGCTGCTTCCTAATACTGTTATAAGGACAATTTTAAAGAACCAATAATGCAGGGGCAACTTTAGTCAGGTCTAGTTACCAGGCTCATATTTAGACATGCTTGCACATCAAATAAAAATGTTTAAATTATGTAAATAGTTATCTTCGCCATGTATAACATACAGAGTATTTAAAATGGTCAATAAATTCATATTTTAATAGAGCTTAAAGAAATGTGGTTTATGTTTACTGCTTGCTGACTCTAGCAGATTTTGACTACACATTGTACTCAGTACTAAAATGGATGGCAGTAGGGCAGTTGCCTGTTTGCATATATATACCACAGTGAAGACAGAAACATGATAAGTAGAGTTCATTTGTTACCTGAGCAAAGGTAGGGCAAATTGGAAAGATGGTAGCAGCAAGGGACCCATATTTTAGCCTTTATGGTTATGGCATGAATGACCAGATTATATGATTTTTAAACTTTTGCTACGGATTGCATAGAAACTAAACTAAGTTTCTTCATCTGTAAAGTGAAGTTTAATGATGTTTTGCGGACTCTTCTCCCTCACATAGTCTAATTCTTTCAATTAGCATTTGATTCTCCACAGGCCAGCAGTTATTCTTGTCCCTTGTTTTACTTTGTTCCTTCTGCTTCCTTCCTTCCAGACTTACACTGCTTATTGATACTTTCATCAGAGCAATTTAGGAAACTAAAGAGATATGAAATCTATACTGCCAGAGCAGTCAGGAGACTGTGTTGTCACAGAAAGTGAGAAAAGAGGTCTTCTGTAGTCACTGGAAAATGATAGAGTTATTAGTTAACATAGTACTAAAAAATATTGGCCGGGTGCTGTGGCTCATGCCTGTAATCCCAGCACTTTGGGAGGCCAAGGTGAACGGATCACCTGAGGTCAGGAGTTCGAGACCAACATGGCCAACATGGTGAAAACCTGTCTCTACTAAAAATACAAAAAATTAGCCGGGCATAGTGGCAGGTGCCTATAATCCCAGCTACTGAGGAAACTGAGACAGGAGAATCGCTTGAACCTGGGAGGCGGAGGTTGCTGTGAGCTGAGATCACGCCATTGCACTCCAGCCTGGTCAACAAAAGCAAAACTCGGTCTCAAAAAAAAAAAAAAAAAAAAAGAAAAAGAAAAATATCCATTGAATTTGTCAAAAGGAAACTTTTGAAGACCTTACTAAAAGTGCCATTTCACTTGAGTGATAAGCAGAAGCTGGACTGCAGTGGATCGGGAATGAGTGAGAGTTGAGGAAGGGTTAAGTGAGTAGCAGCAACCCTTAGAATGAAAAGAAAAAAGCATGGGGGTCAAAGGAAAACCTTTTTTTTGTTTGTTTTTTAAGAAAGACTTGAAGGAAATAGTAAAGAGAAAAGAAAGGAGGAGGAGGCGGGGGAAAGAGAGAAAGATTGAGATTGTGGTAATTGATGGAGCAAAGTCCCTGAAGAAGCAGATTAAGATAGAATGGAGAGCACAGATTAAAGAATGGATAAAAAGAATACTTTCAGTGTAACATACGGGGAGAAGATGGATATGAATGCAGGTAAATTTGTGGTGGAGAGTAGGAAGTTGACAGTGAAACAGGAAAGGTTCCCTTGTCCCGCTCGAAGGGCAAGTGATGGGGGTGTGGCTCACTTCTTCAGTATCCGCTGCTCAAACCTCTAGGGGAACAAACAGATGGGCAGGCTGTGGGGCTCTGACCCCAGGGCAGTGTCTAGGGGTGAATGTTTACAGCTGAAGCCCCAGTGGGGGTGTGTTACAGGGTGTTTTTTTAGTTTGCTGTCTATAGGCAGTTTGTGTTGCCCAGCTCAGTCAGAACCCCTTCCTTATCACAAGGACAGAACAGAGGGATTTCTGTATCCCAGGGTTTCTTGCCTTGGTGTACTGGAAGAATTGGATCACACGTGGGCTTGGAGAATGAATACAAGGTTTTATTGAGTAGAAGTAGCTCTCAGCAGATGGGGGAGACAGAAGGGGGATGGTTTTACCTTGGAGTCGGGCCGCAACCTGACTTCTCTGACTGCTTTGGCCAAACTCTGCGTTGTTCCTCTGGTCAGTGGCCTGCTGGCCTGCCGGTGCCTGTTGACATGCTCTTCCACCGGCGTGCTCTTGATGACCAGCTCTTCTTGTGTCATCTTCCGCCGATGTGTTCCTCACGACGTCCAGCTGCTTATGTCTCTGCCTTTCTAGGATCTTGGGTTTTTATAGGCACAGGATGGGGGTGTGGCAGGCCAGAGTGGTCTTAGAAGATGCAACATTTGGGTGTGAAGGCAGGAGTGCCTGTCCTCACCTAGGTTCATGGGCAGAGGCCTGAGGGTGAAGCCCTAGCCAGGAACCCGCCTTTCTCTACCCAGTACTTCACTGGCCCCCTCCCTTACCGACAGCTTCAAGACTTATAATCAGAAGTAAGTTGAACCGTCAGAAAGAATCTTCCTGGGTAGAGGAGGACATGATATAACTCAGCCTAGGCCAGAAGAAGAGGGGTGGAGATGCTGGAAGTTCTATCGATATTTTGAGATGGAAAGATGAGAGAGCTGTAGTCTGATGGCCTAATGAGGCAAGGTTTATAGCTGGTAGTGAGGAGAATGGCTGGAAGATTAGGAAGTTTCAGGAGAGAAATAGGCATGAAATAGACATTTCAGTGCAGATATGTAAGCTTAGTAGAGGAAAACCTAAGTGTGCTGAGCAATGTTGAATGTGTTGAATGTCTATTTGAAGTTGGAGGTGATGTATTTAAATTGAAAACAGTATGCCTAATTGTATGATTTTTCCTCACCAATGTTCAGCTGTTTAGGTATAAGCACAGAGAAAGCTGATGAAATAGGTTCATGGTTCCTACAGGTTTGGGGCTTTAATGGACGTGCACAAAGAGAAGGACAAAAGAGTTACAGATTTGACAAAAACATTATGATGAAGATGAACTCTGAAACATGAACTAGACATGAAGGATGTGAAGAGAGGAAGGGGTATTAATAAAGAGAGAGAATGATGGGAGTCAACAGAATGGTCTCAGTGAGGTTGAAAACCTACTGATGGCTGGGCTTGGTGGCTCATGCCTGTAATCCCTGCACTTTGGGAGGTCGAGGCAGGTGGATCACCTGAGGTCAGTAGTTCGAGACCAGCCTGTCCAACATGATGAAACCCTGTCTCTACCCAAAATACAAAAAAGTAGCTGGGTGTGGTGGTGCGTGCCTTTAATCCCAGCTCCCCGGGCAGAAGAATTGCTTGAATCTGGGAGGTGGAGGTTGCAGTGAGTCAAGATCACGCCATTGCACTCCAACCAGGGCAACAAGAGCAGAACGCTGTCTCAGAAAAAAGAAACAAACCAACCAACACTATTGATATAGATGTACCAGGTGTAAGAAAAGTTCGAAGGGTAAGAACTTACGTTTGAAGAATGGGGTATTTGGTCAGTGGTAGTTCTGTTTCTGATTATAGTAAGACTCAGGGTGTAATAATGGGAATGATGGATTAAGTAGAGTTAAAAAGGTCATTGATGAAGAGATCAGCCTGAGAGTTGAGGTTTTGATTGCATCATTTATGTGGATGTCAAAGACTTGGAGAACAGTGAGGTGAGTGAATGACCAGGTGACTAATAGATGACAATAAAAAGGAAGGAGAGAATGGTATTGCTGGATGGTGGGAGCCCCAGAAAAGCATGTAGTTGGTAAGAGTGAGGGGGAAATAACCATCTGAAAGTGGCAATGAAGAGCAAGGAAAATACCGTAGTTATCTTCTGACCCTGATGTAAATGGAGTATATGATAATAAACTGAGAGAGGACTAGCGGAAAAGTGGTATCCTGAGGGGTCAGCCAAGAAGGCGAAGAGGTAAGAGAATTTTCATTCAGAGAAGATTGGTAGCTATGTGATAGTTTCCTGATCACATAGAGGAAGTTCTAGGAGAGTGGAGAGGTTTAAGGAGAGAATGAGTAGGTGATTGGGTCAGGTTAAGGGATAAACAGCACTGTAGAGATAAGAATTCAGGGGATAAGGAATGAGAAGAAAGGCTGTGTCTTATCAGTAGGTGAGATGGAATTGGTCCTGATAGTGTTGGAGGAGGACAGGCACTTAGTTCTAATGCTGTGGTCCTTTGTGATAGAGCATCTGGGTTAATTGCTCCTTTAGGCTACTTGTAGTGACAACAGAAGTAAAATATTTAAAATTATTTATCTTAGAATGTTATGTTTTACTGGAACCTGCAATATGCATGTACAGAATCAATAATTTTTACTCTTGCTTAAGTTATACCAAGACAAATAAAAAAGCCAGTGGATTCAAAAGTGAGACATTTGACAGGCCATTATACCATTAAGAAAATTTACACATCTGGCCAGGTGCTCTGGCTCATGCCTGTAATCCCAACACTTTGGGAGGCCAAGGCAGGCAGATCATGAGATCAGGAGTTTGAGACCAGCCTGGCCAACATAGTGAAACCTCATCTCTACTAAAAGTACAAAAAGCCGGGCGTGGTGGCAGGTGCCTATAGTCCCAGCTACTTGGGAGACTGAGGCAGGAGAATCACTTGAACCCAGGAGGCGGAGGTTGCAGTGAGGTGAGATTATACCGCTGCACTCCAGCCTGGGCAACAGAGCGAGACTCCGTCCCCAAAAAAAAAAAAGAGAAAATATTCACACATCTTTAGCAGTGAAGTGCAATGAAAACTGTACTGGCCTAGGAATCTAAAAAAGTAAACTCTAGTCTTATCCATGCCACCTGCCAGTTGTGTAACGATTTGTCATTTACCCTCCAAATTTTGCTTTCATCCTTTGCAAAACAAGCTGACATTATCTGCCTGTCTTCTTTGCAGAGTCTTATGATTAAATGAAATAGCATGTGGATGAAAATGCTTTGTAAACTCTTATATACAAATACACAAATATTTTTGTTATTTGTGAAAAAAGAAAATTATCTTCCCCCAGTCTTCTTAAGAAAGGGGCTGTCAGAATCTCCAAATCTTTAGTGTTTTGTTAATGGTAGAATTGTGGTTTCCTTCAATGAGTTAGGTCTTAACCCTCTGCTTCCAAGGATCTGGGGTAATCTGCATTAGTAATACCCCTCCAGGTGGCATAACCCACCATGACCAAGTTGGATTTACCTCAGCCATACAAAGATGATTTAACGTACAGAAAAGTTTAATGTAATTTACTATATAAACAGACTAAAGGAGAAAAAGATTATGCTCATCTCATTAGATACAGGAAAGGTTTTTGTTTTGTTTTTGTTTTTGTTTTTGTTTTTGAGGTGGAGTCTCGCTCTGTTGCCCAGGCTGGAGTGCAGTGGCGCGATCTCGGCTCACTGCAAGCTCTGCCTCCCGGGTTCACGCCATTCTCCTGCCTCAGCCTCCAGAGTAGCTGGGACTACAGGCGCCCGCCACCATGCCCAGCTAGTTTTTTGTACTTTTTTTTTTAGTAGAGACCGAGTTTCACCGTGTTAGCCAGGATGGTCTCGATCTCCTGACCTCATGAGCCACCCGCCTAATATCCATTCATGATTTTAAAAGCAAAACTTATTAGCAAACTAGTAATAGAGGTTCCTTAATGTGAAGGAGATAATCTGTCATTCTATTAAGATTGAGAACAACTTGGCTGGGCGCAGTGGCTCACGCCTGTAATCTTGGCTTTTTGGGAGGCCGAGGCGGGCAGATTGCCTGAGCTTAGGAGTTCACGACCAGCCTGGCCAACGTGTTAAAACCCCATCTCTACTAAAAATGCAAAAATTAGCCAGGCATGGTGGCATGAGCCTGTAATCCCAGCTACTCAGGAGGCTGAGGCAGGAGAATTGCTTGAACCTGGGAGGTGGAGGTTGCAGTGAGCTGAGATCGTGCTACTGCACTCCAGCCTGGGCGACAGAGTGAGACTCCATCTCAAAAAAAAAAAAAAAAAAAAAAAAGATTGAGAACAACTCTTAATGAATTCTGATTGGTTTATTTTTACAAGGACCTTCTGAAAGTAGTGACTTAACCCAGAGGAATAGATCTAAAGATAGGAATTTTTACATCACCATAGTCAAGTAGAAGAAATACTTGGCAAGCTTTGTGGTGCTCTTCAAATCTTACTAATTTGCATAGACTATTGTTTATGCATTTTTCATTTGTCCAATAAGTACTAAATATCCATATTGTACTAGGTTCTCTGTTGACTGGAGACACCTTGATGAAAGACAGTCTTGTCAAGAAACTCACTTTAGTGGAGGAGGCAATCATATAGTTAGAAAACACTATGATAGAGGAATATACAGAATGGCACGAGGAAGCTCATTAACTCTGACACTGGAGGGAATGGGATTAGTAAGGGAATACTTAGTAAAATGGGGATAACTCATTTTATCCTCACAACAACTCTGTGAGGCATGTATCATAACAAGCTTCCCCAACCTGCACATGCGGCCCAGGACGGCTTTGAATGCAGCCCTACACAAATTTGTAAACTTTCTTAAAACATTGTGAGATTTTTTTTTGCAATTTTATTTATTTATGTATTTATTTTTAGCTCATCAGCTGTTGTTAGTGTATTTACATGTGGCACAAGACAGTTTTTCCTCTTTACATGTGGCCCAGGGAAGCTAAAAGATTGGACACCCTTGCACTATAATTAACCTCATTTTGGTGATGAGGAAACTATAAAATAACTTTCCTAAGGTTATACAGCTGGTATACAGAGCCTGAGTCAAGCCTTGTTAGTCTTATTCCAGATCCATGTTCCTCATCACTAAACTACCTTGCTTCTCCATATGTTGTAACCACTATATTCTTCTGCTTTTCAATAGAATTTAGAGAAAGGTACAACAAATGAAACCCTAGAAGCTGAGAGCTGTGGAAAATTTGCTATAAAAGCAGTATTTGCGTTATTATTGGCTTAAGTCGTATATGTTTTGCTCAGACATGTTGGACATAGTCTCTGGACAGCATGCTGTACTCAGATCAAATCTGCCATTTAAATCAAGTAAAAGGTTCACTTATAAAATAGTTATCTCTGAAAAGAAATGGAGTTTGGAGTTGTGTTATTGTGTATAGGTTGATACCAAAAAAACTTTTTACCAAAACATTCTACCCAAATACTGTCCAGCTCTCACTTTTGCCGTGAAGTTTCTTTTGGTTACTCTTAAGTCCGCTTGCCCCCACTTCTTTCCTCCAGCCTCCTTTTTCTACTCTCTAGTTCAGGATTCTGTGGATTCCAAATGAAAGAAATGTAGTTCAAAATAGTGAAGCTAATGAGTGATTATTAGAAGCATCCTAGGACCAGTAACTGAATCCAAGGAAGGGCTGCTGGACAGGGGCAGTTCCCAGGTCTCCGAGCCATAATATTGAACATTCAGCTTCTATAATACCCTTTCTCTCTGCCTCAGTCTCTAATCTTTCCTTCTCTTTTTTCTGAGTTGATTTTATTCCTATCCTCAGGTCTTATTTGGTTGTGTGGCAGCTCCAGGTTTACTTTATCTCAGTTTAATAAGCTGAAGAAAGGTTTCTTTCTCCCCACTTCAACATATGTGAATCCCAGGAAAATATTCTGGGCCAGCTTGGATTATGCTTATGTCCTTTGGACCAATCATTTCTGAGCAGAGAAGTAAGGCGTTGTGATTCTTTAGGTCAGGAATAAACAATTGCGCCTGGTGGGAATGGGAGGAGCTCTGAGTTTGGCAGACCTTTTAAAACCACATAAGATGTTGGGAGGAAGGCGGAAAGATCAGTTTCCCAGAGGAAGGCAGGGTGCTGTTGAAGAAGAGGAAAAGAAAATGCTGAACAGATAATCACAAGTTTCTACTAAGGAATTTACCTCTGCCCTGCATGTTGACACTTGCCACTACACTGAGATTGTGAACTCTTTAAAGGCAAAGTCTAGACTTGGAGTCAGCCTGGTATTGGATCCCCTTGGAATGCTTTATAGCACTTAGCATACAACTAGATGCTCAATAAGCAGTTGTTTATTTCAACTCCTGTTTGGAATACTTTTCATTATTTTGGTTCATTGTAGTCATGATTTTAGGTAGACATCTTTTCCATTTTTAGTTTTGAACTATATTATTTAATAATTCTGTGTTTAGTTCAAGATCATAATGGATAAAAATAATTTGGTTGAACTATATATGTCAGAAACATGGCTGAACAAAATTTCTCTTCAGATGTTATAACAAGCAAATTATTCCCCCATATTTTTAATGGATTGCTTTTTTTAATTGAAAATTAGGTACCAAATCAAAGCACTGGCTTGTGAAAGAGTCTGTGTTCCATAGAAATGAATTGATGGAAAAGTACACTATTTTAATGTGTTTATCTCAGGGGCTATATGATTTAGATACTTAAGGTTTTTTTTAATCATCTAGATATTTTTTAAAACTTTAAATCTTTTAAATGTAGTTCAACTTGCTTTAGGATTTTTATCTTTTAATGCAAATGCCACGTGAATACATATGACAAGCATATTTAAATCATTCACATATTGACTTATTTTCTTTTTCTCCTTAGGAATTGAGAGAAACCTGCAACACACAGCAGTTAGCCCTTGAACAACTTTATAAGATCAAACGTGACAAGTTGAAGGAAATTGAAAGAAAAAGATTAGAACTAATACAGAAAAAGAAACTAGAAGATGAGGCTGCAAGGTAGTAATATAGCTGATTTGTTTATTGTGCTAGATTGCATTAGAATTGTAATTTTGTTGCTCATATCTTTAGTTTATGAAAATTTAAGGAAAATAAAGGGATTATCCTAATCAGATTCTAGATCTCATAAGTTCAGTCCTTTTAGGGATCAAGTTTGCAGTAACTGATTTTATTTTCCACTAGTGAAAAATAACAGACTTTGGAGTCAAACCTGTATTAGAATTCTTGCTCTACCACTTACTACCTGGGTGACCTTGGTTAAGTTATTTTATCTTTCTAAACCTCAGTTACTCCATCTGAAAAGAGAGACAATAATGCATATCTCGTAGGTAATTGTATTAAATAATGTAGCTGGAACTGGGCATGGTGACACACGCCTGTAGTCCCAAGCTACTTGGGAGGCTGAGGCAGGATCATCACTTGAGCCCAGGAGTTCAAGGCCAGCCTGGGCAACACAGCAAGACCTTGTCTCTTAAGTTAAAAAATAAAATAATATAGCTAAAGAACTAAGTATAATTTGTTGCACATAGTAAACACTCATTAATTCCATCTTTCCTTGGTAAATCTGTTAGTTTCCTGAAAGATCATAATTGTATATAGTAATACTGAATGTAGAATGCCACACTGATGCATTTCTCTTTTTATCAGTGAGATATATTAATTGCCTCCATTTATAGTAAGGACAAGTAAGACATTTGTGGTATCCGAAGCCTAGAATTATTCATTTAGAAACTTTGCATGATATTTTTCTGCCGTTAAGATTATTTTTCTAATATATTCCTCTCTTTCTTTTTTCTTCCAAGTTCTCTAGTGTCAGAAAGTGGTATAATTAGTTAACAAATATGGATGAACCAGTATTTCTTTGCCTTGGTAAAGAGTAGATGAGTAATTTCTATGAAAAAGCTTATAGTTACTAGGGAGGCAAGAAAGACACATCAGCATTTATCAGGCCTCTATTCTGAATGAGTTTCGAAGTAACCACCTCCAACACGTTTTTTTGAGTGGCTGTTGTTGGCTGTGGTGCTGGTGGACTTTGGATTACTCCTTGCCCCTGGGTTTCTCATAATTCTAATAGGGGATTCAGACAATTAAACAAATAACTATAATATTGTGTACTCCTAGACCCCCATTTATTTATTTTGAGACAGGGTCCTTGTTCTGTCACCCAGGCCGGATTGCAGTGGCATGATCAGGGATCACTGCAGCCTCAACCTCCTGGGCTCAAGCAATCCTCCCGCCTAAGCCCCCACTGAGTAGCTGGGAATATAGGCATGCACCACCACTCCCTGCTAATTTATTTTCAATTTTAATAGAGATGAGGCCTCACTATGTTGCCCAGGCCGGTCTCAAACTCCTGGGCTCAAGCGATCTGCCTGTCTTGGCCTTCTGAAGTGCTGGGATTATAGATGTGAACCACTGTGCCTGGTGATCTAGACCCCTATTTTTGTGGCCTCCTAATGAGATAATAGAATAATATAGAAGTAGAGAAAGTAAAGTTCAAACGAAGTAGTTCTTATTTACTGCTTAACTTGTGTCCCTTAATTACATAAGGGAGCTGTGCAATAGTTACACAGGTAATCCTTTTTCAGAACTTGCTATTGACATGTGCAGTTACCCTAATCCTTCTTCATCATGTTCACAATTCCTTTCAGGCCAAAAGATTATACTAGTTATACGCATTTTATTTCATTAATCATCCTTGCACATAGGTAGTAGAGAAGATAAATCAAAGAGAACAGAATTACGTGTAGGACCTACTCAGTCTGAAGCTGTGTCTTAGTACCACATCTTGGTTTGATTGGCCATTTGCCCAGGTATATTTCCCTTCTTTCCCCCAAGGTATTGGTAATAGGCTTTCACATTGTAGATGTGGCCTCTTTGCCCTTTGCCCAGCTTCTGAGGCATCCTGTGACACTGGACCAGTTTCTCAACTACTAACTCTTACATAAAGTTTGCCAGAATTCTGGCCTGGTTTCCTGCAGGTTGAGCTCAGCCAAGTACCACCCCTCAGTAAGCCTAGAGTAGAGGAGCCTGGCATCCTTTCCTTAAATTAAGCAAGGAGCCTTATCCAGGTTGTCCTAGTCCCATATTTATGTGGCCATGATAACCTGGCAGGAGGAGTTGATGGAAAGAATGAAGAGCTTAAAAAAATATATAGAAATGTTTAATTTAATGAGCCCTCTGGTTTTTTTGTTGTTGTTGTTGTGCTAAATATGTGCTAAGTACTCTGATAGTGATATTTATAATGCTATACAAATTCAAATGAAAGCTAACTGGGTATTAATTACTAGGCTTGTAAAAATGTCGTGGAAAGTTACAGAGGAACTGAGAAAGGGGATATTAGTTGAAATTAAGTGAGGACTGCAAGAGAAGCATTTTCCTCACAGGAGAACCGGAAGTCAGTTAAGAAAGTTGCCAGAGGAAGCATTCTATAACATGATAGAGGATGAAGGAGGTTTGGAAAGTGTTGGAAGGAATCTAGTAAATGGGCTACTGAACCAGCAGTATGAAGTCTGAAACAGTTGGTGGATAAGGAGAAAACATTGATGACTAAGAGCCTACAATATTTTGAATTATCCAGGATTTCCAGATTCCTTCAGGAATTAAGGAATAGAGATGTGGAATTATGCCAGTGTTCCCACTTCGGTAGGGTATATATGCTGACAAATCTCAGGAATGTATCCGGCTATAATTTCACTGCCTCGATAGTGCTGAGACTTGGAGAAGGTGCTAAATTTAGTGGTAGCCGCTCTGAGTAAGGTTGTGAAAATACATGCAAGGGAGAACTATAAGATGCATGAGTTCTTTTTTTTTTTTTTTTTTTTTTTTTTTTAAAGTTCTAGGGTACATGTGTACAAATGTGCAGGTTTGTTACATATGTGTACTTGTGCCATATTGGTGTGCTGCACCCATCAACTCGTCAGCACCCATCAACTTGTAAGATGCATGAGTTCTAATACTAAAATAATTGATCACAGATCACCTTGACTGGCTGGAAACCAAACTGTAGCTGTGTTAGATATCATTGAAATGTTGACCAAAACATGTGGACCTAGAGAGGAGAAATGCTCTATTTAAGCAAACAAAAAAGGCTTTTTGAAGTAACAATATAAAAAGTAGACCAGGCGCAGTGGCTCATGCCAGTAATCTCAGCACTTTGGAGGCCAAGGAGGGAAGATTACTTGAGGCCAGGAGTTCCAGACCAGACTGGGCAACATAGCAAGACCCTGACTCTACAAAAAGAAATCAAAAAGTTGCTGGGTATAGTGGCATTTGCCTGTAGTGCTGCCTACTTTGGAGGCTGAGGCAGGAGGATCACTTGAGCCCAGGAGATCAGGCTGCAGTGACCTATGATTGAACGACTGTACTCTAGCCTGGGCCATACAGTAAGACCCTCTCTCTTAAAAAAAAAAAAAAAAGTAGGTTATTTTTCTAGAAGCGTTTCCTATTTCCACAGCAACAATGACTAAACCCCTGAAACAAAGATTAAGTAGGACAGTGGGAATAACAGCTGGAAGGCAGTTCTTGTCAAGTATCTGGAGAGAAAGGAAGGAAACTTAAATATAATTTTTAGATTTATTTGCGGAATGGTTCCATTTCAACCTTTTTCTTTTTTTCTTGAGTTTGGAGGTTGGTTAACAGGAGGGAATTTTAGGGTGTGGAAAGTTGTCAGTCATACACCCCAGTGCATCCACTAATCAATCCAAAGCTTCCAAAGCTTTTCTTGATTGATTGATTTGTTTTCCTTTCACCTCTGATCTGAGCAGTTTCTCCCCACCCCTGTACTAATACTTCATTGCCAGTTCTTCACCTTGACAAGAACCGGATCTTATAGGATGTTTTTATTTTGTGTAAACAATTTCTAGGACATTATGCAAACTTTTTTTCTTTTATGTAAAGGAAAGCAAAGCAAGGAAAAGAAAACTTATGGAAAGAAAATCTTAGAAGGGAGGAAGAAGAAAAACAAAAGCGACTCCAGGAAGAAAAAACACAAGAAAAAATTCAAGAAGAGGAACGGAAAGCTGAGGAGAAACAACGTAAGGATAAGGATACTTTGAAAGCTGAGGAGAAACAACGTAAGGATAAGAATACTTCGAGACAGTAGAACAAAAGCAACAAGAAAAAAATGACCTGATAGGAGACAAAACAAGGGAAGAAAATGAGAAAGATACTAATTGTAGAGTCAGAAAAAACCTTTTTATAAATTAAACTTGGATAAAATGCATGTAGGCTTATTAAAACAGACTGAAATCTTAACACAGCAGTAGAAAAGAAGAGAGTTACTACTGATTGTGAAAAGACTCTGACATGGTTTTCATAATTGAAGTAAAATAGTTTTAAATATTTTATTCAACCACTATAAGCTATTTATTTTAATGAAGCAACAATAAAATTTTGATACACCTCAGTCCATTTCTACAATACTTTTAGTATTATTGTATCTCTTTTAGATACATAAACCCTTTGAATCATTGTTAATGATACAGTGTGTTGAAATTTTATAAGTGAAAGTATTCTAAAGATGAACAAAGTAAAAAATTTTATTCTTATCAAATTCAGTTTGTGTACTCTTCTACTATTTTCCTTTTAGAACCATTCTGATAGATCTATAGATTTTTCTTCAGCCATCCCTGTTAACTTGCTAATCTTCTCTTTTCAGACCCCCCGCTTTTTGTCCTTTTCTTCCCTATTATATTCAGACCTCCACAGATCAAACCAAGCTCTCTTTGCTTGGTCTCCTTCCACTTTGTATAGCTCAGCCTGGCCCCCACTCCTGCACTTTCCTTTCTATCCATGTATGTGCTTCACCCTGCAAGTCATCTGTTTGTTTTGCTGCCTCCTACCTTACTTAAGATGAGCATCCTTGTTTGCTTTTTTATTAGATGACTAGTCAAGATACAAGACTAGTCTTGTATCAAGAGTATACTTTGGTGTACTCTTTGGTGCTCGATTTTTTCTTTTAGATTTTAGGAGCTCTTTACTGAGTCATAGCAAAGATACGTATACATGTAAGTAGCAAATAATGACAATTGTCTTCTCTTTAGGTGAGACAGCTAGTGTTTTGGTGAATTATAGAGCATTATACCCCTTTGAAGCAAGGAACCATGATGAGATGAGTTTTAATTCTGGGGATATAATTCAGGTAGGAAATGAAGTCTTTTTTTTTTTTTTTATCTTGAATAACCTGAATACATTGTAATATATTAGTTTCTGTAGTAATGTTGACTATTACTTTCATATATTTACCTTTGTAAAATATTTCTTAAACATTACCTCATTTGGCCTTTACAACATACTTGTTGTAAGACAGTCTTACCTTGGCTTCCCAAAGTGCTGTGATTATAGGCATGAACCACCATGCCTGACTGGCTTAGCTGTTTGAAACTAGTCTAAACTAGATTTACAGGATAATATTTCATAAGTGTTTTCTTTCATTCTAACTATTTTAGAATACCATTTTATGGTAGTTACATTACTGTGACGCCATATAGTTTAACCAGAATAGCTCTGGTTTAGGAATTTTCTAAATATTTCATTCATGATGTAATAAATAGCCAGACATAAAACATTAAAATGAGAATTATTTACCATAAACACAAATGAAGTTTCCCTAATAATCCATTTATTATTAATTAAGCTTTAAGTCTGTTGTTCATCAAATTTAGAATAGTCCATTCAAGTTAACATTTGTTGAGTTTGTAACCATGTGCCTCTGGTGACATACAAAAACGAGTAAGGAGACCACAGTCTAGGAAAAGACAGAAATGTATATTACTATACAAAATATAACATGATAAATTTCAGTACTAATTGGTATGAATAAAGTAGTGTGGGAACCCAGAGAATGAAGGAAAAACAACCAAATAGAATTGGGGAAGATTTTTCCCAAGAATAGGATGGAGGAAGGCCTTAAAGGGTTATGCCTTATGTTTGCTTAGTGCTTTACAGTTTCCAAAGCGCTTTCATAAATATACTCAATTTAATTCTGCAAGGAGGGCAGCGCAGGCATTTCCCCCCAAATTTGTGGATGACAAAGCACTCTAGATCACATTCATTATCTTAACGAAGGATAACCAGGTGACATGGCTAAGACCGAAATGTGGTTCTTTTAACTCTCAAGTCTGTAGTATTTCCTCTAAAACGTGTAATATTCTGGGCAGGTGGGAATACCTTAAATAAAAACATTGAGGCTTGCATGTACCAGATGTTTTTAAAGAATGTCATATAACTATTTGCCTAGAATATCGAACAAATGGTAGGATACGAAGCTAGAAAGGTAAGTTGAAACCTGACAAACTGCAATTTCAGAGTATTCAAATTCTACACTAAGAAGTTTGAACTTTTTAAGAGCTTTAAACTAGGGAGACAACATCTGCTAAGAGAAAAATCCTAATGGGTCTGAAATGGCTTACCATAGAGTAAAAGGCATCAAGATTGGAAAAAGAGAAGACAGACTGTATTGATTTGCAGAAGACATGATAATCCATGTAAAAAGTCTCATAGAATCTGTTAAGCTACTAAAAGTATTTAAATGAGTTTAGCAAGGTTGCAGAATACAAGATCAATCAAAATCAGTTGTAGTTCTCTATAGAAATGATGACTATTCAGAAATTGAAATTTAAAATAACGTTTACAATTGCATAAAAATATGAAATACAGATAAAACTGATAAAAGATTTGCAAGACCTGTTTATTGAAAATTACAAAGTTTTATTGAGAAAAATTGAAGTCCTAAATAAATGGAGAGATATATAGGGTTCATGGATTGGAAGATTCAGTATTGATAAGAAGTCAATTATTCTCTTAAGTCCTGTGTAAACAAATTTTTTAGAAAAAGACAAGTCAGTTCTTCTCAATTCTTACACAGACTCAAAGCAATTTTAATCAGAACTTTTAACAGGCAGCCAGGTGCTGTGATCCACACCTGTAACCCCAACACTTTGGGAGACCAAAATGGGAGGATTATGTGAGGCCAGGAGTTTGAGATCAACCTGGGCAACAAAGCAAGACCTCATCTCTACAACAACAACAACAAAAATCTCAGCAAGCTTTTTTTTTTTTTTTTTTTTTTTGTAACAAATGATGAGATGATTCAAAAGCAAAACAACTTTGAAAAGGAACAAAGTTGGAGATCTTTTAGTACCTGAATTTAAGGCTTATTATAAAAATTACAGCAGTCAAAACAGTTGTGATATTACATCTAGACAGGAAAACAGATCAATGGAACACAGTAGGTAAACAGATTCATGCTGTGTGTGTGTGTGTGTATGTGTATGTATGTATGTATAAACAACTGATTTTTGACAGAGGTGCAAAAGCAACTCAGTGGAGAAAGGACAGACTTTTCAGCAAATGGTATTGGAGCAATGGATATTCATATGCAAAAAAATGAATTTCAATTTATTCCTTGCAACATATACACAGATTAACTCAAAATAGATAAAATATGAAATGTAAAATGTGAACCTATAACTGTAGAATTTCTAGAAGAAAACAGAAAATCTTTACAACTTTGGGTTACTCGAAGTTTTTTAGCTTCTTAGATATGACAAAGAATCTAAGAAATAGTGTTCTTTTTTTTTTTTTTTTTGAGACAGAGTTTCGCTCTTGTTGCCCAGGCTGGAGTGCAATGGTGTGGTCTCAGCTCACTAAAACCTCCTGGTTCAAGCAATTCTCCTGCCTTCGCCTCCCGAGTAGCTGGGACTACAGGCATGCGCCACTGTGCCTGGCTAATTTTGTATTTTTAGTAGAGACAGGGTTTTTCCACGTTGGTCAGGTCTCAAACTCCCGACCTCAGGTGATCCACCCGCCTTGGCCTCCCAAAGTGCTGGGATTATAGGCGTGAGCCACTGCGCCCAGCCTAGTGTTTCTTTTTGAGGAAAACAGTTCTGTAATTTATTGTGGTAATGATTCTGTAACTCTTTGAATATTCTAAAATCCATTTAATTGTGTACTGTAAATGGAAGGATTATATGGAATGTGAATTGTATCTCCATAAGCCATTGTTAAAAACAAAAAAGTTAAAACATGTACCTACCATGTGACTCAGCCATTCCACTCTTAGGTATTTACACAAGAGAATTGAAAACATATGTCCATATGAAGACAAATGTTCATAGCAGCTTTATTTGTAATAGCCAAAAACTAAAAAAAAAGTAATTGTCTACCAGCATTTGAAAGGATAAACAACTTGTGGTATATGATATAATATTACTTAGCAATAAAAAAGAACAAACTGTTCATACTGTATGGATGCCTTGAGTGGAAAAAGGCAGACAAAAAGGGCACATATAATATGATTTTATTTATATACAATTTTAGAAAATGTAAACTAATATATAGGACAGAAAACAGGCCAGCGTTTACATAGAGATGGCGGGGAAGGTCATGGGGAGGGGCAAGCTGGAGGAATTACAGTGGAACAAGAGGAAACTTTTGGGAGTGATGGAAATGTTTGCTGTCTTGATTGTGGTGATTTTTCACAGTTATATACATATGTCAAAACATCAAATTTAGCACCTTAAACATGAAATTTATATTAATGATATCTCAAAAAGCAGTTTTTAAAAATCTGAATGGATTCAACATGATTTTAATATATATGACACTGTCAAGTCTGTGTTTTAGAAAGGTATGGAAAATGAATTGGAGAACAGAGACACAGCTGCCATATTCATTTATTCAGTGAGTTAAGTGATTTCTACTATGCTAGACAGTGGGGATCAATAAAAAAGCTCACAGACTAATGGAAGAGAGATATGTAAATAAGTCATTATATATAAATAATTATCTGTAGTAAGTACATATGCTTAGGTATTAACTACATAATTAAGTGTAACTATGTATATATAATGTATATAATGCTAATTATGACAGTTATATATGAGATAACTCTGGCTTGGGTTGGGGGAAGTTAGAATCTTGAAGGATGAGTAAAAATCATAATAATCTTAAGTGCAAAATGAAAAAAAGCCTGAAGTAGGGCAGTGAGGGTGGGTTGACAAATTAGAAGAGTCTTTAATGACAAACTCAGTAGTTTGGATGTGGAAGTGTAAAAGAGATAAGAGCCAAAGATTTTTTATTTAGAATGACTAAATATTTGGTGGTGTGAATAATAGAGGAATTTAGGAGAAGGCAGGGGGATGGAGGAGAAAGGTTCAGTTTTAAATTTGACTTGGAAGTTCCCGTGGGGCATCCGCTTGAAGATACCTTGCAAGTAGTTGAAAGTATAGGCTTCAGGAAGAAGTAGCACTGAGATCATAGCTTTTGGATTCATTATTGCACAGAGGACTGATCAAACTATGGGAGTAAGTGGGCCTATTCAGGAAGGGTATAGAATGAGGAAAGAAAGCCAGTGATGAAACTTGAGGCTGTCCTCAGTGTTTAAGGAACAAGGACCAAGAAGCAGAGGGAGAAACACTGTGAGGATGGAGGATGTCACACTGTAGGATGAAAATGTCTGGGAGAAGAAGTGAAACTGATAAATCACCTGACATGTTTACCAGTTGGAAAATAGTATTCAGAGAAGATCTTATTGTTCTGTTAGAGAGTTCAAAAGACCTATGTAACAGGAACAGAAAAAACTAAGCCAAAAACAAAGTAATGATTATAGGAAAATAAAAAGTTTATGAAAAAGGAAATTTAATCAACAGCATGCTGCATGACTCAGATGTGAAATATTTAAACATAGTCATAATATTATAAGCATTAAATATAATTTAAATAAAGATTAAGATGTAACGGTATTGGTAGAGTAAGAGGCTGCAATGAAAGAGAAGTCAGTCTTCATTTCCCATAGCCAAAAGCTAATAGATAATGTCTAAAATTGAAAAAATTCAAGAAATAGCAGTATAAATATGTTATTCAGAAATATAAATGGTGATATAGGAGAAGCCAGGAAGAATGGCAGGTTAGGAGTGAAAATCAGGGCATAAGGAGCCATGAGGTAGAGGATTATTTTCCTTCATTAGCCATATATAATGCTATTTGTCTTTGTAAAATATTTTCATGTAACTTGGATAAAATTAAAATTTAGAAAGACAACTTGCCAATCACTAGAAATAGTAGCCTGTTAATTTGTAGAAAATGCCTTAACTATTTAGTTAGATGGGCTTAATTCTGAAAATGAGAATACAATAGTCTTCGTCTCTTTCCATTGTAAATGTGTGAATTTCTAGGCACTGTTAATCCTTCTTTTTATTTCCATAGGTTGATGAAAAAACCATAGGAGAACCTGGTTGGCTTTACGGCAGTTTTCAAGGAAATTTTGGCTGGTTTCCATGCAATTATGTAGAAAAAATGCCATCAAGTGAAAATGAAAAAGCTGTATCTCCAAAGAAGGCCTTACTTCCTCCTACAGTTTCTTTATCTGCTACCTCAACTTCCTCTGAGTAAGTTTTTAGCTGACAGTAAAGTTTATATAGTTCTGCAAATGTGTAAATACCTAATAGATAGTGGTGTCAGCCTACTGCTTCATCACAGTGTAATCTGGGTTGTACTCTTCAAGAGTACTTTTTGTTTCAGATTTAATACTGAAATTTAGTAAGTGAAAACATGGGTCAGTAGTTTGTTAATGAATTATTTCTTTTCCCACAAATTGTGTGTAAGCACAGCGTGTATAATATACAAGTTGATAAATTGGTAGTACTTCATTAAGTTCTAAACAATTAAGTATACTTATATCAAAGTGTTATATTTGCAGACCACTTTCTTCAAATCAACCAGCATCAGTGACTGATTATCAAAATGTATCTTTTTCAAACCTAACTGTAAATACATCATGGCAGAAAAAATCAGCCTTCACTCGAACTGTGTCCCCTGGATCTGTGTCACCTATTCATGGACAGGTATGTTGTCTGTTATTTTTGTGGGCTTTATTCTTTGAATTTGCTCCTGATTCATATAAAATAAAATGAAAATTGTGTACAAAGGGACCATTCACTCATTTAGCCAGTTTGTAACATTCAATTTCTTTCTCATTCACATGTGATGTGAAGTTGAGGAAATGACTATTACTTAGAGGTTTCTCAACAATTTTTTTTTTGTTTTTTTTGGGACGGAGTTTTGCTCTGTCACCCATGCTTGAGTGCAGTGGCAAAATCTTGGCTCACTGCAACTTCTGCCTCCTGGGTTCAAGCGATTCTCCTACCTCAGCCTCCTGAGTAGCTGGGACTACAGGCGCCTGCCACCATGCCCAGCTAATTTTTGTATTTTTAGTAGAGACGAGGTTTCACCATGTTAGCCAGGCTGGTCTAGAACTCCTGAACCTCAGGTGACCCACCCGCTTTGGCCTCCCAAGGTGCTGGGATTACAGGTGTGAGCCATGTGCCCGGCCTAGGTTTTTCAACAATTATTTTCCATAATATCAAGTTGCTAGCAGCTAAGGTTTCTAAGCTCAAAATGTTATTTTTACAAATCTCATGATATATTGTTCTTGATTTGTAGTTATTATAAGAAGAAGATAAGAGACTTGGGCTTGAGGTTTTTTGTTTTTTTTTTTCCTTAAAGTTATTTGGGAACATCAGAACTTTTTAACATATATTTAACCTCTGATTTAGATATAACCACAGCAATAGGGTTACGTTAACATTATTTTTTAAAATTGCAGACTTCATCAGAATAAAGTCCTCCAGATTTCACCTTCTCTCAAAACATACAATGGCATAGGTTCCAGGCATTTTATTATGTGCTAGAAATTTAAGGAAAAAATAAGTCAAAAGCTACCTGACATTGACACCAGGCACTGTGACTCAGTGCCTATAATCCCAGCTCTTTGGGAGTCCAAGATGGGAGGATTGCTTGAGGCCAGGAGTTTGAGATCAGCCTGGGCAATATAGCAAGACCCCATCTCTACAAAAAATTTAAAAATTAGCCAGGCGTAGTGGCATGTACCTGTAGTCCTAGCTACTTGGGAGGTTGAAGTGGGAGGATCACTTCAGCCCAGGAGTTTGAGGCGCAGTGAATTATGATCATATCACTGTACTCCAGCCTAGGCAATAGAGTGAGCCCCTATCTCTAAAAAAAATTTTTACAAAGCAGAAACTCAAACTCGCCACTAAGTGGATGATAATCTAATGAACATGACAGACATAAATAGCTGTAAAGCATGAGAAATGCTGTATTAAAGATATCTACAAGGTCTTTAGGGGGTATGCAGAGAAGAGAGCATCTTACTCAATTGGTGAGAATTGGAGCAGCCTTCACAAAGGGCAAGGTATTTGAGTAGGGCCTTCAAAGATAAGATTTCACCAAACAGAGAAGGAAAGTTATTCCCATGAAAGGACAATTTGGGGAAAGTCACCAAGGCATGTTAACACAAGATACTTGCAGGAAACAGGAATTGTGAATAATATGACTAGAGTACAGGATTCATGGAGAAAGGGTTAAGCGAAGTTGGAGAGAGAAGTTGAGGTTTATTTGGGAAGCATTTAATACTGTGCTAGGCAACTTGGCAGTGGAAAGTCCCTGAAGATTTTTAAGAGTGCAGTTGTTGTGTGTTTTGGAAAGATAATTCTGGCACTAACATAGAGGCTGGATTAGCAGAAGAAAACAACCAATTAAGGAAGGATATTACAATAGCTAAATAACAAGATATGATGGTTTGAACAAGTGCTGTGGTAATTAAGATATAGGAAAGAGGAGATAGATTTAGAAGATTATTAGGAATTGATATAAAATAGATAATCCATTGAATGTGGAGAGTGAGGAAGCAGTAGGAGTTAAAGATAATTCTTCAGAGGCCTTAGCTTGAGCAACCAAAGGTTAGTAGTATCCTTGTCTTTGGTAGACAGTGCAGGAGGAATGGGTTTGGTAGGTTCTAAAAATGATTATGTTTCAGCCATGCTAAGTTTAAGGTATGTGTATTAGGGACAGCTTTGTAGAAACACCCAGTAGGCAGTTTGATATACAAGTCTGGAGCTCAGGAGATAAAATTACACTGAAAATGTAGGTTTGAGAAGTCATAGACATAATTAAGAGTATTCAGGGAAGTCCTGTGAAACAGTAAGGGAAAAGTGTTGGACAAAAGAGGAGCCATCAATCACCAGAGAGTCAGCTTCAGGAACTACAAGGATTGATGTTAGCTGTTTAGAGATCAAGAGGAATAAGTGTTTGGAAGAAGCTTTTGGCTTTGATGTTATTATTAATAAACCTGTCGGGAAGAGGTTCAGTAGTGTGATGAGTGCTGAATCTAAAGTAGAAGGGATTGAGGAGTGAAATTGGAAAACAAGTTTAAGACTATTATTTAAGGAATTCAGAAGTAGAAGCAAGTAGAGAAGTAGATTGAAGAGAAGGACTTAATGTTATAAACTATTTTTAGAAAATAAAAGGGCGTAATAGAAGACTTGGAGAATAAGAGTTTAGCCTTATTAAAAGAACAAAACACTCCTTCCTTTGAGAGAGGAGGGAAAGAAAGAAGAATGAATAGAATAGAGGAAATTAAGAGAAAATCTGAGAAACAGTGGGAGCCAAGCATGCCAGTTTCCTTCCCTAGTGGAGTAAACAGAATTACATTGCAAGCTGGAGAAGAAAAAAGATTTACAGTAACACTCCTTTTTTATTTGTTCCATGATGTATATTTCATAGATGTATGAATACATTTCTTGAGTACCCATTATTTACCTTCTCTACCAGTGATGTGATGAGGTTTCTTTGAATGGTGGGTTTTCAGTCTGTCTTAACAGAAGGCTAGTCACATAGTTGTCTGTCATGTATAATTTAAAGTCAGTTAATAGACTAAAGTTATCTTAAGTCACCACCACACCAAACTGGTCTGCTGTTTGAACAGTAAGTATGTTATATACACAGAAACAGAAATCATGGTTACCACTGCCTTTTTAAAAATTTTGGTGGTTTTGTATTCACAGGGACAAGTAGTAGAAAACCTAAAAGCACAGGCCCTTTGTTCCTGGACTGCAAAGAAAGATAACCACTTGAACTTCTCAAAACATGACATTATTACTGTCTTGGAGCAGCAAGAAAATTGGTGGTTTGGGGAGGTGCATGGAGGAAGAGGATGGTTTCCAAAATCTTATGTCAAGATCATTCCTGGGAGTGAAGTAAAACGGGAAGAGTAAGCATCTTTATGTGTTTTCATGGATGTGGATGTTGGTATTTTCTCTAATGGGTCAGCCATGGTCTGATTGAGTGTATAATAAAATAACAGTTTTATACTTGAGTTTGAATATCAGAAAGGTAATTCTGGCCGGCCGTAGTGGCTCACACCTGTAATCCCAGCATTTTGGGAAGCCAAGGAAGGCAGATAACTTGAGCCCAGGGGTTTGAGACCAGCCTGGGCGACATGGTGAAACCCTGTCTCTACAAAACTTACAAAAATTAGCCGGGCCTGGTGGCGCATGCCTGTAGTCCCAGCTACTTGGGAGGCTAAGGTGGGAGAATCGCTTAAGCCCAGGAGGCAGAGGTTGCAGTGAGCCAAGATGGCACCACTGCACTCTAGCCTGGGTGACAGAGTGATACCCTGTATCAAAAGAGAAAAAAGAAAGGTAATTCTTAGGATGAAAAAAGCATACTTCAGATATTTGTTTCAGTTTAGAATGTCTTTCATTCTAGTTATTTCAGATTCATAAAATTTTCAAGCTACTCAAAATTTTAGATCTGTTGCTTTTTAAAATTTGTTTTTGAGACAGGGTCTCACTCTGTTGCCCAGGCTGGAGTGCAGTGGTGGATCATGGCTCACTGCAGCCTTGACCACCCAGCCTTAAGCCATCGTCCCACCTAAGCTTCCCGAGTAACTGGGACCACAGGTGCATGGTACCACTCTGGCTAATTTTTAAATTATTTGTAGAGATGGGGTTTTGCTGTGTTACCCCAGGCTGGTCTCAAACTCCTGGGCTCAAGTGATCTTCGTGCCTCCACCTCCCAAAGTGCTGGGATTACAGGTGTGAGCCACCTTACCTGGCCATTTCTTTGTACCATAAATCAGTTAGAAAAGTTACCTTTCATTTTCTTTCAAGCATTTCTCCCTTGTCTACTATAAATAAATTGTCAATATTTAAGTAACTCTTTACTGAGGGCCTCCTCTTGGCCAAATTGAGCATTCCCATTTCTGAGTCTCCAAGATTCCTTGAATATAACGTCTTACTGCTTATAGCAGTCTGCATGATAGTTACTGGTTTTTTTTTTAAACCAATGTCCCTTATTAGGCCATAAGCTCTATGAGGTCTTATGATCTAATGTCTTTTTTTATTTGTTCATTTTTCAGTTTCTTCATGCCTGTTCTAATCATAATGCATTGTAGCTGTTCAATCATATTAGCTGAGTGAATGAGGAGAGGCGTGAATGAATGAACAATCGAATGAATTTTCAAATGAAAACAGCTAAAAACTAGATAGGTTAGGTCTCTGGCCTTTATTTCCTACTCTGTAGGGAGTCAAGTTGTCAAATATAATACAAGGAAATAAGTACTATAATATAGCTATGGGTAACTGTCTCTTGTGTTTTATATGGAAGTTGGTAGAAAAGCCGTCTGATTTGATGAAAAGATGCTGTTCTTTATCAGTCAAGAGGTTTGAATTTTGGCTCTGCTATTTTTGCCAGGCTGTAAGGAATAACCTACTTAATCTTCAGTTTTCTAATTGATTGAATTAAAATATTAAGCCAAATAATCTTTAAAGATCCTTTCACTGCTGAGTTTCTATGTTTCTGGAAGGTAGTGCTCAGTTTCTAAAAATTTGCTTTTCAGCCTGATATGGAATTTAGGATTGATTGATTGATTGATTTTTGAGATGGAGTCTCGCTCTTTCGCCCAGGCTTGGGTACAGTGGCGCAATCATGGCTCATTGCAACCTCCACCTCCTGGGTTTAAGCAATTCTGCCTCAGTCTCCCAAGTAGCTGGGATTACAGGCATCTACCACCACGCCCGGCTAATTTTTTTTTTTTTTTTTTAGACAGAGTTTCACTGTTGTTGCCCAGGCTGGAGTGCAATGGCCCCATCTCGGCTCATCGCAACCTCCACCTCCCGAGTTCAAGCGATTCTCCTGCCTCAGGCTCCCAAATAGCTGGGATTACAGGCACGCACCACCATGCCTGGCTAAGTTTTTTTGTATTTTTAGTAGAGACGGGGTTTCTCCATGTTGGTCGGGCTGGTCTCGAACTCCTGACCTCAGGTGATCCGCCCGCCTTGGCCTCCCAAAGTGCCAGGATTACAGGCGTGAGCCACCGCCCCCAGCCTAATTTTTGTATTTTTAGTAGAGACGGGTTTCACTGTGTTGGCCAGGCTGGTCTCAAACTCCTGACCTCAGGTGATCCGCCTGCTTTGGCCTCTCAAAGTACTGGGATTACAGGCATGAGCCACCATGCCCAGCCCTATTTATTTGTTTTTCAAGACAGAGTCTCACTCTGTAGCCCAGGCTGGAATGCAGTGGCACAATCTCAGCTCACTGCAACCTCTGCCTCGTTGGTTCAAGCGATTCTCCTGCCTAACCTCCCAAGTAACTGGGATTACAGGAATGCACCACCACACTGGGCTAATTTTTGTATTTTAGTAGAAACAAGGTTTTGCCATGTTGGCCAGGCTGGTGTCAAACTCCTGGCCTCAGGTAATCTGCCCACCTTGGTCTCCCAAAGTGCTGGTATTACAGGTGTGAGCCACCACACCTGGCCGAATTTTGGATTTAGAAGAATGTAATAATAGTAACAACCACCATATATAGCTGGCATTTGTATGCATGCACTGTGCTAGGCCCTTTATAGACAATTCCTTTATAGAAATTGTCTTATTTTATGTCCATAACATTTACAGAGAAGAAAACTGAAGCAAAAACAGATTAAGTTTCAGTGTTTTAAAGGGCATTTCTTCTAACTTTTCATACAGTTACCAGTGTTTTCTAACAGATAAGTCATGTAACTTGAAAACCTGCAAATAACGGAGAATTTAGCATTAAACAAGACAGTCCATTCAGTTGTGACCAGTAGTTGTAATAAGGTTCCCCTTCTGTTTGTTAAAAACTGCCTCACTGTGTAATTTACTCACAGGTCCTGAGGAGCCCTGATGCATCCCACAGGTGTCTAGTTAAACAGGACAGTCTTCTAGATTTTTTGAAAACAGATTCCTGGGTTAAAATGGAAATTAATGTTACAGCTGTTCTGAGATAATAAAAACGTTTTATTATTTTTTTAATGTAGTGCATTCTAAACAGATAATAAATTTATATATTGCCCTTGTTTTTTCCTACACTAAACTAAGCCCTATATGTGCTTACCACTTACCAATTTGTGGGTGTCTTTTAAGTTTCTTTAGAAAGGCGAAATATTTCACATTTGAAAAACTATTTATAAATCATATTGAAATTTTGAAAATATATTTTAAAATGTAGAAGTGTATAATTAGGCTGTTCTTAATCCTGCAGGATGTTCTGTATAAGTCTTCCCAGTTCTGTGTACTGAGACTATATTTAGATTAATTTGAGAAAGCCCTAAAAAATGCACTACTAAAACCTGTGCATCAAATCACCTGTCTTATTTTTGCTTGTATTTGTTTGTTTTGTTGTTTTTTGTTTATATATTTGGTAGACCAGAAGCTTTGTATGCAGCTATTAATAAGAAACCTACCTCGGCAGCCTATTCAGTTGGAGAAGGTAAGCTTTTGGCAATTTGTAAATTAGATGGTAATCAATTTAGCTCTTGACTAACTACCTGACTTCACATAGTTGCTATTTTCCCCATTTCTGTGTCTTCAGTATTAAAGTGAGATTAGGAAAATCTGCCCCTATCTATTTCACGTGAATATTGAGAATATAGAAAAAACATGAATGAAAATACTTGGCACTTTAGAAAGGCAGTGCTATGAAAATTCAGCATAGATTGGTTTGATGAATAACATCATAAATAAAAAGTGTTGCAATTATTGATTGTAGATGTTTAGGAGGTAAGGACATTTCAATACATTTAGTTGCTTATAAATTTTAATTATAATGTACCATATGAATCATTAAGGAGTACCAAGGTATACTTTATCATAAATATTGCGAAGAATTTTTTTCTATATCCCTTTGGGTTGTTTAATAAATTATTTTGACTTTGTTAATGTGAGGAAAAATGAAAGATCACCCTAATTTCAGATGATATTTTTATTTAATAGTTACATAAATTTATAAATGAAATGTATAAGTCCATTATAAAGTTAGTTGAATAGCTGAGGTACATTTTATGTTTTGCTAAAAATATCAGTCTGATGTTAAATTGAACAAAATTCAGTATCTATTATGTTGAAGATTCTATAGTAAAGCCTGGAAAGTACAAGGATGAATGAAAGTTTCCAAAGTCCTCAGAATAGAAAGGAGCATACAATTGTGATAAATTATTTAATGAGGGAAGAAAACTAATTTAGAGTAGGACGTATGAATCCACAGAGATGGCAGTATTGCATCATCCTAAACATTGAGTAGGATCTAGCATAGTGACAGAGGAGAATGCACTTCTAGACAGAGGGAATGGAGTGAGTCAAGGAACGGGGGAACCACATGTCACCAGTGAAGCTGAATCATAGGTGTACTGTGGAATGAGTGCTCTGAGGTGAGCATAGGAAAGTAGTGAGGAGCATGTTGGAAAGGACCCTACTTTTATTGCAGCGTACCTAAACCTTGTAATCACTTTGAATTTTGTTAAATTAATTGAGTAATACTGGGAATGCCAATAGTAAATAATTGGTTGCAAATGGTGTTTCTGATCATCTCCAGTTTATGATATTAAGATCAAATTCCATGTTGGCAAATATAAATAAAACTGGAAAGAAAGAAAAAGGCTTAGAAAACCAAGTCACCAACTGTTCCTTCTAAGTAGTAACAATCACAGAAACAAAAATCAAAGGCAATATAAAAATTTAGATATTTCCCTTTTTTTTTTTGTTTTTGTTTTTGTTTTTTTGAGACAGAGTCTCGCCCTGTTGCCCAGGCAGGAGTGCAGTGGTGCGGTCTGGGCTCACTGCAAGCTCCACCTCCTGGGTTCACGCCATTCTCCTGCCTCAGCCTCCCAGTAGCTGGGATTACAGGCACTCGCCACCACGCCTGGCTAATTTTTTGTATTTTTAGTAGAGATGGGGTTTCATCGTGTTAGCCAGGATGGTCTCGATCTCCTGACCTGGTGATCCTCCTGCCTCGGCCTCCCAAAGTGCTAGAATTACAGGTGTGAGCCACTGCGCCCAGCCGAGGTCATTTGTTAACATTTATCGAGCATCTACTCCAAGTCAAGTACTGTGCTAGAAGCTGGGTCATCATGATAGAACTTGGCTTCTAGTACTGCTGTCTTCTGGATATTGAGTATTTCCATAACTGTGTACTTAAAAGAATTAAAGAGAAAATAATGTAGCAGATTAAAATGTTTCTTGTATAAAAATGTTAAAAAATATATTTTCCTATCTTGACTCCATTATCTAAATAACTGAGTGACTTAATCTCATTAAGCCTGGGTGTCTTTATCTATAGAGATACTAATATCTGTTTGTAGTTTTGGGTAATTCTTTGTGATAAAAAATAAAACAATTGAGAATAAAAGAAACTCTAAAGTTTTATGTTAAGTTAAATAACTTTTTTCTAAGGAATTATTAAATAATTGCTTCGTCCTTTACATCTTTTTATATTAGGTTTCCTGAAGGCACAAGGTCTTTCACAGCAAACTTATACAATGTCTTGGAGAATAACCTAATTTCTTTTTCACTTCTGTAATCTTAAAACCAGAATCTGCTTTTCTTTTACTTTATTCCCTACAGAATATATTGCACTTTATCCATATTCAAGTGTGGAACCTGGAGATTTGACTTTCACAGAAGGTGAAGAAATATTGGTGACCCAGAAAGATGGAGAGTGGTGGACAGGAAGTATTGGAGATAGAAGTGGAATTTTTCCATCAAACTATGTCAAACCAAAGGATCAAGAGGTAGTTTGGTATTAAAATAAAACCAACCCATCTGGTTAATGAGGTTTATACTTAAATTATTTTGGTATTAAAAATAAGATCAACCCGTTCTTGTTAATCAAGATTTATGCTTAAAACAGAGATCATGTTTATGGTTTTGATCAGTGGTATGTACAAATTTTCTAAAATTTTAATTTTCCCTGGTAATCTTGAATTTTATCATTGGCAAAAAAATCTGTCAGCTGTTTTCCTTGAAGGGACCAGGCTTACTTCATTTTTGTTTGCTAAATCCCAAGGCTAAGTAGTTTTTCTATTGGTTCTTTGAAGTAAAAATGTTGTTCCATGAAAAACTTAGTTGAGTGCACAATTTAGTCACACAAATGCTTTCCTTCAGACAACCGTCATACTTTAGTATGCAGCACAGATGTTTTAGGCACACTTCTGTTTACTCACACAGAATTTTTAAAAGGTATGGACTTGAAGGTTAAGATTTAATAAAATTTTTACTGCTTCATTAAAGACATTGTTAAGTGAAACTGGCTATGTTTTAGTTGGAGTGCATGGCAGTGAAGAACACTACTGTAACTTCAGTGTCATTCGGTGCCACTGCTGTGATTCACACTAAAGCACCAATGATTTTACCCACAATTGTAAATGTCAACACAATGAAGAAGACAAATAATGTCTTAGTATTTTTATGAAAATAGTTTTTATCCCACGGACCCCTGAAAGAGGCTCAAGGACTATTTCCAGGTTCTGAAAACCACATGCTGAGAGCCATTGGTGTAGTAGAATCAGACCACCTGGGTTGACTCTCAGCTGTACCACTTAGAGGCTCAGTGACCTTGGACAAGTTACTGTACCTTTCTGTGCCTCAGTTTCCTTCTCTGTAAAATGGAGATAACCATACTTAATAATGTTATTGTGAAAATTAAATAGCAGAACATATGGAACCTCTTAGAGCAGTGTCTGTTACACGGTACTCAGAAAACATTAGCTTTTAACTGCCATCCGCTCTGCTTAATACTTGTACTGCAGCTGTGTTCACTAACAGAGCAAAATTCGTTTTAATCCCATCCCTTTTGTTGTTCAAATTCCTATGAAGAGGAAATGTGGTTGGGCCAGTTTATCCTTCAAAGTGAAACAGAAGTAATAGTTGCTACACAGGATAGAGGTTTTTTGTTCTTAGGTCAGATTTAGTCAGTTTGGGGGGAGCATGGTAAAATAAATAAATAAAAATAAAAACATTGTCTCCTGTTCATCAAGATCCATAGATAAGTCAGGATCCCTTAGAGAAAGCAGGAGCAAAATAACATATACCTTGACATATCCAGGACACATATGTTGTGCATAGTGGGCACTGGTGCTAACACCATTGATGAATGGGGTGCATTTGGCCTGGAGGGTCATGTTTAATATTTAAGTTTCAGAAAACAAGCTCTTCCTGTTGAGTCAGTGGTTGACGACATCAACCACTTGTATATAATGTTTTACATTAGCAGACCAGATCTCCTCATAAGTGTTGGATTTTTCACTTATTTGTTAATACTGCATGAGGTTCATTGTCATTTTCATCTTCATTTAAAGAAAAAGGAATGCTGGGAATTTGAAATCTCTAATTCCCATTAACCTTTGTACTTTTACTTCTGTATTGTTGGAAATAATAAAACAATATGGTATCTTTTCCTTGTAGAGTTTTGGGAGTGCTAGCAAGTCTGGAGCATCAAATAAAAAACCTGGTATGTATAGTAATGATCTTAAAAAAATTGCTGGCCAGGCGCGGTGGCTCAAGCCTGTAATCCCAGCACTTTGGGAGGCCGAGATGGGTGGATCACAAGGTCAGGAGATCGAGACCATCCTGGCTAACACGGTGAAACCCCATCTCTACTAAAAATACAAAAAAATTAGCCGGGCGTGGTGGCAGGCGCCTGTAGTCCCAGCTACTCGGGAGGCTGAGGCAGGAAAATGGCATGAACCCAGGAGGCGGAGCTTGCAGTGAGCCGAGATAGTGCCACTGCACTCCACCCTGGGTGACAGAGCAAGACTCCGCCTCAAAAAAAAAAAAAAAAAAAAAATTGCTAAAGTGTTTGCTCTGTTGCAATCTTGAATTCATAGTTTCTTGTTTGTCTTCTTTTCAGAGATTGCTCAGGTAACTTCAGCATATGTTGCTTCTGGTTCTGAACAACTTAGCCTTGCACCAGGACAGTTAATATTAATTCTAAAGAAAAATACAAGTGGGTGGTGGCAAGGAGAGTTACAGGTAATCTTCATTAAATAGCATCTATAAATTTTATTATAAAAGTACTGCATGTTCCATAAAAAAGATAAAATTAATAAACATTTTTAGATCGCCCATAATCACTCCACTTAGAGGTAATCATTATCAATATTTTACTGCGTTACATTTCCTTTAGTCTTTTACGTGTACATTTTTAGCGCAGTTGAGTTGATGTTATAAGTAACAATTTAAGGAATAATTTTCTCCAAAGACATAATTGTTTTCCAATAATGCATTCCTTTATAATTCAAAGATCAGGTTCTTAAAGGAAAGCACATCATCATCTTTCCCTGGGATAGTCCCAGGCTTGCAGTATAGCCTCTCGGAGAAAGACATGATCTAGGTGGTGCTGAGAAAATACTAGTAATTGGGCTGTCCGCGAGTGGTCTTATGTTTTTGAAACAGCAGTGCAAGGAAAAACAATATGGACATAGATGAACCTGGTTTTTTCCCTAAAATGTTAAGTTATTGCATGTGTTTTGATACAGGAAAAGAGTTCTTCTCTGACTTCTAAAATTTCCTTACTAGTTAAAACTAAAAAGCGTTTGAAGGATTGAAAGATGACAAGAGATATAATAACTATATTTTTATGAGTGATATATAATTGTAATATGGAGGATAAACATAGCTTCATTCTTGCAAATCGGGAGTCTTAGGATTCCTAAAGAAAAATGGGGGCTCAAATGTAATACCTTCTTGAATAACCCCCTGAAATTCCACCTTCTGATTTACTTTGAAGATGGACTGAACTAAGTGGGAAACATGACTCTTTACAAATTTTACTTATGACCTCCTGATTAATTATTAACAAAGCTCCAAGAAGTCGGGTGCACCATTTTAAGGGTTGACTTGAACTTATTAGGAGAACTCTAGAAATGTCTTTTTAGAATATAAATATTTTTGTGAAATACTCAGAGAACTCTGAGTCTGAAAGACCTCCACATAGACTTCTGCAGATGCTGTTTTCAGCAGCAGTTTGAGATGCGTGTTTTAGTGTGTCTTCCGGTTGTTTAATGTTGACTTGAAAGGCTAATGCTGAGTTTGAGGCCCCCAAGACCATGCTCATATCTGAAACCAATTCCAAGCTTGGGGGTCTCCAAGACTACTCTCAATTTCTGTAATTCACTAGAAGGACTTTACAGAACTCACTACAGCTGTTACACTCATGTTACAGTTTATTGCCAAGTTACAGCCAAGTTGAGAGACACATGGTGCAGAGTGCAGTAGAGTTCCAAAAACAGAGCTTCCAGTTGTCCTCTCCTGGTGGAGTCGTGAACAGTATTAACTCCTCCTGGCAATGATGTGTGACAGTACACACAGAGTATTGCCAATTAGCAAAGCCTTGGTGTCCAGGCTTTGACTGGGGTTTTGACTGGGGTTCCTCACATAGATATAGTTGATTGCCCATTTGGCTGAAATCAGTCTCCATCTCCTACCAAGGTAGAGCTGATACTGCATGACCCAAAGCACCCACCATACATCGCATTGTTAGATTTGGCATGGCCCAGCACCCACAGGTAAACTAAGACACTCTTACCAGTCAGGATAGTCTAAGGATTTAGAGATTACTTCCAAGGAGCTGAGGGCAAAGACCAGACCTCTGTTTAGGCAAGATTAAATTATTTACTACACATTTATGGTTTTTCTAATTTTTAAGTTATGTCTCAATGATTGTTTTTAATCTCATCTTTCAATTGTATATTTCTTTTGCTAATTTTATAGGCCAGAGGAAAAAAGCGACAGAAAGGATGGTTTCCTGCCAGTCATGTTAAACTTTTGGGTCCAAGCAGTGAAAGAGCCACACCTGCCTTTCATCCTGGTATGGAAGTGGGTTAATTCGTATTTCATTTTAGAGGAGTTTGTTAAAACTCAGCAACTTCTTACATTAGCTCACTCTTTGAAAAACATTAAAAATGTGTTCTTTCTTTACGTCTGCTTAAAAGTAACATGCCACTGAGAATTTTCTTTATGAAAAGTTCAGTGTAGGAACAGCCAGCTTATTCACTGATACTTGAACCACTTCAACTCCTTGAAATCTTTCAATGTGAAATTGTTACACCATCATACTTAAAGTGAAGTACTTCACTTGCATTGTTAACTGTAGTTGGGAAGTTCTTGTTTTTGTAAGACCAGGAATAGGGGAAGGAGGGTGAGAAAGAGAGCAGTTCAAGGGAAATTTTAGCCTAATTTTAATATTAAAATAATTTAAATCCTAGGGAGATTTCAAATGATTGACCCTTGAAGAAATAATTAATTTGTTTAATGTGTTATTTTGTTATTCTTGTGATAGTATGTCAGGTGATTGCTATGTATGACTATGCAGCCAATAATGAAGATGAGCTCAGTTTCTCCAAGGGACAACTCATTAATGTTATGAACAAAGATGATCCTGATTGGTGGCAAGGAGAGATCAATGGGGTGACTGGTCTCTTTCCTTCAAACTACGTTAAGATGACGACAGACTCAGATCCAAGTCAACAGTGTGAGTAATATTAAATTATTTACCTCTCACCTAGTATGAAACTTTAATATATAGCACTGCATTTATTCCTTTTCTGGATTAGATCCTAAACTCAGCATTCACAGCAAATGTAGATTAGTGTTTAAAGTGAGAAGAAACAAAAGGAAACTTTTTACAAGGTCAGAAGTTATACAGCTTTATTTTAAATACTTGCTAGCTCCAGACCTTAGTATTAGACTTAATCTGAAAGAATATATAATTTTTCCTACGAGTCCTTTGGTATGACTGCCATCTATACTGCAGCTTCTTTTCACTATCTTCCTCTTTTTCAGTGTCCCATGTTCTCTTTTGGTTTAATAAAAAGTCGCTAGTGGCCGGGCACAGTGACTCACACCCATAATCCCAGCACTTTGGGAGGCCATGGTGTGCAAGATTCCTTAAGCCCAGGAGTTGGAGACTAGCCTAGGCAACATGGCGAAACCCCATGTCGACAAAAAATACCAAAATTAGCTGGCTGTGGTGGCACATGCTTGTAGTCTCAGCTACTTGGGAGGCTGAGGTGGGAGGATCTCTCGAACCCGGGAGGTCAAGGCTGCAGTAAGTCATGATCTCACACACTGCACTCCGGCTGGGCAACAGAGAGAAACCCTGTCTCAAGGGGAAAAAAAAAAGTAGGTAGCAATTACCCTATCCACCTATTCAAAATTACTCTTTTAGCGTACAGAAGCCGTTAAATTTCCAACCGTCTCATTTATTTCTCGCTGTTTACATATCCATGTTGGAAGAAAATTAAAAATTAAATATTTATGACTGTTGCAAAATTCTTGTCAGGTGATTCTTTAGATACCCACCTTTTTCCACAAGGGATGTATAAATCAAGGTCTATTTCATTATTTTCAGAACAGGGGTCCAGATCTCGAAGTGTGAAGTTTGGTATTATATAAAATCATCTCTCTGTATTTACCTAGCCATTCTTTTGGTTGACAATAAATACAGCATTAGTAATAAATTAGGAAATAAATAGTACTTGGAAATAACTTTTTACCTTTATGAAACGATTGTCACTTTTTCCCACTCTTTGATTTTTAGTTTTATTTTTAAAATATCTCATGATATATGTCTTACGAAATGTAAAATACTTAGCGTTTCATTTAAATTCAGTTGCTGAGAATATATAAATGGTAACCCAAACAAAACTGAGATACACTTATGATTCAGTGTAAGGATTATGAATATATACTATATCTATAATTTTGTGCATTATTTTCACTTTAGAGCTTATAAAGATAGTTCTGACCCTGGGAGAAACCTTCCCTTTAGATAAAGCAACTAAGTTTCCCAACTTGGAGATGGGAGGAATCCAGTTTTTTTGTGATTTGAATATTCCCAAAAATATTACAGGATTTCAGAAGTGATGAAGAAAATTGTAACTTGGGTTGCCTAATAAATGATCATTTTTAAGCTCTGCTGATGGTTTGGCAGTTCACAGTGGTTACTTAGAAACCAGTTTATCTAATTAGCTGTGGCATCTTTCTTGGTGTTGAGAATGGAAAATACTTTTCAGACCTACTGGGTTTGGAAGATTTTCGGCTAGGGATCCCTGAAGGCATGCCAGTGTGTCAGTACATTTGGTTTTATAGCATCTATGAACTAAAGTTAGGTTTTTCAAATATGTTGTTGTTGTTTGAAACACTTTTTCCAATTAAGTCTCATATAATAGGGAATATAAAGAACAGACAAAAGCCATTTGAAAGGAAGGACAGGACTGTGGCCCCATGTCTTATACCTTTCCCCTGCCTATTTTATGAAGGTCCTTTCAGTTTCCCCTCTGCAGATAATTTGAAGATTACTCTGAAGAAATCTACTAGTTCAAGGCAGTAACAATCTCCTTGGAAAGTAACTTTCCCAGAGAGTTCAGTGACAATTTTTTAATCCAAAAAGAAGCAGCATAGTTTCTGGTTGTCAGTAAAAGTTTAATACACTAATGAGACAGAAAATAGATTGATATCATCTGTTAGTTATTAGTTATTCAAGGACACATTTGTCATGGAAATTACTTTTGCCCAGAGAATGCTTCGTTTACTGTTTTAGTATGGGTAGAACTGGCAGAGCCTTAGTCCACCTGTAGATGAGAGAGATACCCAGTCTAAACGACGCTATCCAGTAGAATTTTATGCAATACAGAAAATAGTCTGTATCTCCACTCTCCAATACAGTGGCCACTAGTCACTTGATTGTCTGGAGTGTGGCTAATATGACTGAGAAACTCAATTTTTAATTTAATTTAACTTTAATTTTAAGCTGAAAAGCCACTTGTGGCCTATGGCTACTGTGTTAGACAGCACACCTCTAGAAGACAACCAACTGTAATGCAAGCCCTCCCTGAAATAAAACATGGAAGTAGCAGGGCTGGGCACAGTAGCGCACACCTGTAATCCCAACACTTTGGGAGGCTGAGGCAGGAAGATCGTTTGAATGTCAATATAGGGAGACCTCATCTCCACAGAAAATTTTTTAAAAATTAGCTGAGTATGGTGGCACATGCCTATAGTCCCAGCAGCCTGGGAGGCTGAGGTGGGAGGCTGCAGAAAGCCATGGTCATGCCACTGTACTCCAGCCTGGGTGACAGAATGAGATCCTGTCTCAAAGCAAACAAACAAGGAAATATTGAAAGATTAAAATAAGAAGAAAAAGAGTAATTGTCTTTCAGTCATTATTGACCTACACAATGATTTTATAGCTCCTATGTGCTTCAGATTTTACTTTTTTATGGGGTTTTTGGATTTTATGTTAACATTCTTCCCACTGTTCATTTAAGAAATTCATCATTTGGTATTATTTGAGTGTCTACTCTGTACTGACTAGGAGTACTGGGAATACAAACAAGAAAAGACAATCCATTCTCTGAAGTAGCTTTAGAGGTTAGTGGGGAACAACATTCAGATAAATATAACAGTTGCTGTAATGAATATTTATACAAATATGTTTTGGAAAAAGACCCCCTAAATCTTTATGGAGAAAGACGGCATGTTGTGAAAGATGTAACAGAAGATATTTGAGCTGGTACATGAAGGATAAGTAGTAATGGTTTGCTGGAATGGCAGATGTTGGGGATGCAAGGAGGAACTTATTATTTTCTTGGTCATTTTATATACTGACAGCTGGGAAAGCAAAATGTTCAAGAGGTTATTTTAAAATAAGAGTAGTTTCAAATTTCTCTTTATTATAAAGTTATTAGCAGTAACTTACCTATTACCTTGTTTCTGGCTGGTGTATGTGGGGTTTTTTTTTAGTTTAATCAGATCTTAAAAACTGAATACTTTATTGTTTTGCCTAAATGAATGGCTAAAGGCTTGTCATCCATCCTGGAATAAAAGGGCTCTCAATTCTGTAATTCTAAGGATAACTTCCAGAGAAATTCCTCTGAGATGGTTTATTGTTTCTATAAAACAACTGTTTAAATTATCTAGGAAAGTGAGGAGTACCGATTTTGTTTATTTGAAGTAATTTATCAGAAATTCAAGAGTCATAATTGCTTTTTCAAAGAAGATGAAGAGTAATGTTAATTATGTTGGTAGCTATGAATTTCACTCACATTATTTATATTAACCTATAATTTTAGTAGGATATGGTTCAGAAAATGTTTAATCCTTAAAGTCAGGAATAGATATGAGATCCTTGTTGTACCTACCCGGATTTTTATAAATGAATCATCTGTTTGTAGTCCTTGTAATAGTCAATGAAAGCTAGTTAAATTACAGATTACCATTTGTGTTTCTTTGGTCCTTATAAGTATTATTTTTCATTTTTTACATAATTAGAACTTTTTTTAAAATAGAGAATTTTAACAGTTCAAATTTGTTTAGTTGATGTTGCACGTTGTTACTAGTCAAATTTTATCTCACCCACCTAATTTGCATTATGTTCATTTTATTCCTCATTTTCTTTTTTTAGGACCCAATGTTGTCTTCCAGTTGTGAAAGCACCCCAGAGACCCACTATCCAAGTTTCACTCTAGCGTGGAGGCAGGGCAGGCAGCCCTGATCAAATATCTCCTACACAATTCGTTTACTTCGTTTGAATGTTAGAGCCACTTGTGATTATTTTTTTGTGTTTCTAACTTATAGTTTAAATTTATTTGTAAAAAGTTAAAGGATAGTGGGTCTTTGTGTGGCTTTCCCTGCTGTTCACTCTGGCATCTTTAGCATTTTTCTTCTTTTTTAATTTGATAATTGTAGGTCATTAGCATGCATATTGAGTTTGCCCTTATGTGGTGGGAGTTCAAACACACAAAGACCCACTATTTGCACAAACTATTCTTACTGGTTTGTAATAGGCTGCCATGCTTTTTTAATGTTATTGCAACATGTGTATTCATTTACAGAATTCAGATAAAATTTGCTTATGTTCTGCTATTATGTTTAATCTAATCCTAATCACAGTGAGCTCTTAATTCGCTCAATATGTGGTTTGCCCTCAAGTGCACACTGTTTATTACTTTGTAATATGCCACTATGAGTACTGACATTTAGATTTGTTTAAAGGCCAAGAACTGGAAACAGCCATGCCCTGTTTTCTGTGTATTCGGGATGGGAATAACAACATTTTGGGGGAGCTTTTTAAATCTCAGAGAAGAGGAAAGTGGCCTGCTCTGCAGGCATGTGCAGAATAGAGTGTTTCATTTGTTTCAGTCCCAAGAATGAGCCTTGTCCTATGGTCGTTCCCTTAGAATCTTTATGTGCTCTGGGCTGATGAAGATACTGCATCATGTGCTGCAGCGTTTATATTCTCTTTCAATGACCTAAAAAGGGATTATTTTTGAGGAATGAAAGGCTCCCATCGTTGACTGTGAGATGTGAAAAACCTTTCCTAGCTTAGAGCATTTATATCTACAGTCATTTTAAAGTCAGAGTTCATTGTTACCTGTTTTAATCAGGTGAATACATGTCCCAGTATACAAAAGGGCACTGGTCGACATTCTTCTTCATGTATTTAGTAAAGATCATAAGAAATCCTTTAAG